TATGTGGTGCTGAGGATCGAACCCGGGCCGCACGCATGCCAGGCGAGCGCGCTACCGCTTGAGCCACATCCCCAGCCCATAATTTTCAAAATGGATAAAGAAAAGAGGTAAAATTAGAAATATTTATCCATAATAAAATTAAGACAAAGTTTTCTGTTTTGGCACAGAAAATGAAGAATGTTATGAATTTTAGGATTTAAAATCTCTTATTTAACTTTTTTATTTTTCACATTTTCTGTGTTATTTCTCATCTGCTTTCTGCCTATGGCTTCTATATGATTTTATTCTACTTACATGCTCTATAACAAGCAAACCAATGGGAGAAGAATCAGGTGCAGATGAGAACATTAGAACTATGGCTTTCTCTCTTTGGAAATGTCCCATACTTTTTTGTTTGTTTGGTACCAGGGATTGAACTCAGAGGGGCTTAAACACTGAGCCACATCTCCAGCCCTTTTTTATATTTAATTATAGACAGGATCTTACTGAGTTGCTTAGGACCTTATTAAATTGCTGAGGCTGGCTTTGAACTCGAGATCCTCCTGACTCAGCCTCCTGAGCCATTGGGATTATAGGTGTGTCACTGCGCCCAACTTGTCCCATACATTTTTCTGGTACTGGGGGTTGAACCCAGGGACACTCACCACTGAGCCACATACTAGCCCTMTTTTGTATTTTATTTAGAGACAAGGGTCTCACTGAGTTGCTTAGCATCTCGCTGTTCCTGAGGCTGGCTTTAAACTCAGATTCTCCTGTCTCGCCTCCTGAGCCGCTGGGATTACAGGGATTCACCACTGCACCCAGCTGTCCCATACTTTTTTATTCTAAATGACCATTGAGGGAGGGGGAACAAAGAGGTACGACTGGATGGTGTATGGGGAGTATTTTACCATTACTTAAAAAAAGAAATTCTCACATCCTATCACATTTTTTACAACTCAGTAACCCTGAAGAGAGTATGCAGCCACCAAAAGGGTGGCCACAAAGTCTGTAAACACAGGTTCCCACTATACATAATAAATGGCTTATGGACATCACCTTAATAATATTTTCAGTGTGCCACTGTKCAACACTGCAATGAATGTAGTGCACTAATCATGAAACCATGATGTGTTGCCTCTGATGAATGTGTCTCTGATTTTCACTGAATAAACCTGGACCTTTGATATACCACAGAAGAAATCAAGGGCATTCAGATCCCGTGAATACAATCCATGCCACATGGTTATATGATAATCTAATTTAGTTTTGGAAACAATCATTTCACCAGTCCTTTACCATTTAGGCTTAACAGTGGAGATGTATATTGTTGAAACTATTCCAGGTACCCTGCCTGCAGTCCATCAATAGCAGGCATTAATTAGTCACCATGGGCAAGTATGACAAACATCTGCCTATTTCCAGACATTATGACCAGGTGGCATTTTTTTTTTTCATATTTTTTTTAAAGTTGTCTATGGACCTGTATTTTATTTATTTATAAATGGTGCTGAGAATCGAACCTAGTACCTCACACATGCTAGGCAAGTGCTCTGCCACTGAGCCACAACCCCAGACCTAGAACATTATTTTCTAATTATTAAAGCTAAAGGAGGTATCAGAGGTATCCCATTATTCTTTGTATTTTTCCTCATATTCCAGTTCATATTCTATGCTCCAAATAAGCTTTTTCCAAAGAGGTCCTTGGTGTCATAGCTCCTTGATTTTTCATTTACTGTTCCCTTTGCCTGGAATGACTTTTTTTTTGGTACCAGGAATTGAACCCAAGGGGTGCTTAACCACCCCAGTGGAACATCCCCAACCCTTTATTTTATTTTAAATATTTATTTTTTAGTTGTAGTTAGAAACAATACCTTTATTATATTTATTTTTATGTGGTGCAGAGGATCGAACCCAGGGCCTTGCATGTGCTAGGCAAACGCTTTATCACTGAGCCACAACCCTAATCCCATATTTATTTTTTTAATTAAAAAATTTTTTTTTTTTTTTTTAAATTTTGAGACAGGGTCTTGCTAAAGTTGCTGAGGACCTTCCTAAGTTTCTGAGGCAATTTAGGAAGGCTGGTCTCAAACTTGCAATCCTCCTGCCTTGGCCTCCCAAATTGCTGGGATTACAGGTGTGTGCCACCACTCAGCCTGGGATAACTTTTTTATACTTCCTGAATTGAATTTTACTCTTTCTTCAAAATTCTCCATTCCAGTGATATCTCTGAGGAGCTTCCCTGACTACCCCACACCCCCAGTTCCCTGAGCCCTGTCTATTTATTTTCTCCAATGGCCTATCCTTACAGCTATTGCAGCACGTTCTCACTGTATCACACCTGTCTGTTCTTTTCCTCTCTAGGGCACAGCAGAGGCAATAATATTTTTAGCCAGCTAAGTACATGAAGAGAACAGCTTTTGTATCAGAATGGTGATTGGATGACTTTTAAAGTCTTAATGCTATTATTTTACTTTTTTAAGGCRTTCTATTTTAACATTATCTTTTACAATAAATAACTGAATTTTAAGCCTCTATTCATAATATACAAAAATAAATTTACTTCAGAGTACAGAAATAAATGTTATTACTAAATACAAACAGCATTGACAATTACCAGGAAAGATGAATTTGCAGCTGTCACTGTGCCATAGGGCTTGATGAATGCAGGTTTCAGTTTGGCCAACTGTTCCAGTGAGGAAGGACGGATGCCATTGTCTTTGGTAACTGTATCTTTTCCTATAAAAACAGGAACTTTGTAACTTTAAGGAACTACAAACATTATAGATCTTTAGAGAAATGTACTTTAAAAATTACAAAAATGAATGAAATGTAAATTGTACCTATTCCAAAGACAAAAAGCTTTCTTTTTCTAGGTCCTAGGGCTCAATCCAGGATTAATGATGCTATGGACAAGGACTCTACCACTGAATTAAATCCCAAACCCAAAAGAAAACCTTTTATAGTTATCAAAATATGATCAAATTTTTAAATAAACTGTTAAAGACATTTGGAAAGTCATATAAATGAACTAATTCAATTTTTAAAAACCCTGTTTTTTTAAGATGCTCATTCACATTTGGCTATTTTATATAGAAGAGACATGAATCAAGAATTTTAAAAATAAKGATATACTTAAGAACTAAAAGATATCAGGAAAATATAAAAGGAAGGTCTTATAAAAATGTAAAAAAATTTTACTTGTGTTATGATACAAATCAAAACTTGAGTCAGTGTTTAAAGAGTATTTTGGAAACAGAATCAATAAACCTACTGAAAAGTCATTTAAGAGTCTTTGAGTATTCGGAGCAACTGGAGCAATATAGAACTTGCTAATAAGTATCATGAAGTATTTGATTTTACCTGGTACTTTGAAGGGAACAACATCAGACAAGAGTCCTTCATCCTGTGCCTTCTTGGCAAGACTGTGAGAGCGCAGGGCATATTCATCTTGTTCCAGTCGAGAAACAGCAAAGGCGGCAGCCAGTCGGTCTGCAGAATGGCCCATGGTCTCACTGGTCGAGAATTCAGCCACTGCAGGCAGCTAGGAAGGGAGGTACATTATTTAGAAGTGTCACATGACACCTAGGATTATTTAATGTTATTTGGAAAAGTGAAAATCTATTTGTTGATCATCTATCAAGACCAAGACAAGAGAAGCTCTTTGTGAGCAAGGCATTACAAAGAGGGTTACAAATTCAAATTTTCTAACCAATATACATTTTTTTCCATCTTGACCAAATCATTACCTTTCTGTAATGAAGAGCATCTTAGAACACGCCTGAGCTTATCTAATTCTAAATCTCTACGGCAGGATGCTCTGGAAACTCAAGTCTCTATTTATATAAGGTTCACAAGTCTTACCTCAGGTGATAGGAAATTCAATCTGAATTTAGAGAGCAAAGACAGTCGCTGGCCCATTGTCTTGGCCTTATTAAGATCAAGCATCATTTTCCTCATTTTCCTTGAATGACGAATAGGGACGTCGGACATTAACTCAACACCACCAGCCACGACCACATCAGACTGTCCGGAAGCAATCAGGCCAACAGCTAAAGGGCACAGGTTATATATAAATGAACATCTTTTGCAGAAACATAACACACCAATGAAATTTAAGCATCTTAGATAATTAAAAAACCATGTAACAGTTATCCACTTTGAACATCTGTAATTAAAATTTTCATCTTTTCAGAGGAATTAAAATTAATTTTTTAAACGACTAAAAACGCATTCAACAACTACAGAAAAGTACATTTCATTCAGACCATATGGACATCAACTTCTGGATATAACCATTGGATCAACTCTGTTGCAAATCATATTCTAAACCAGAGGACCTTGCAGTCCCCCACCCCATTTTTTGGAAACAGGATCTCATTAGTTGCCAAGGCTGGCTTCAAGCTCACCATTCTTTTGCTTCTGCCTCCCAAATAAGGTACTAGGACCACAGGCCTGTGCCACCAAATCATGCTTTATCTTGTATATTTTACATGCTCTCAGCTTTAGTTTTGGGGGAATAAAAAAATCTTCCCCCTGTAGAAAATGTTAATTTTTATTATAAGCCACAGAAATTTTGGCTTTGAGATATAAGGCAGACCATCTTCCTCTTTAGAACCACTAGCAAGTCATTCTAACCAGGTGTTGGTCAACCTGCTGCTAGAGTGGAAAATACCCCCAATCACTGCCTCTGGCATCATTCCCTGTGACCTATGAGCTGGGCTGCCAAACCTGGCCTGCCCAACCTGGCCTTGATGTTACTAAAACAGCACATGAGTACTAAGCTTTTCAGGTTTCCTGCCTTTTCATATTAAGGGTCCTTCCACAAAATGTCCCATAAATTGTTAAAAGTTTGTTAGAAGTCACAATGATTTATGAAATGCCAATGATGATGGGAAAAAGTGAAGGATAGGGTCATGCCAAAGCAAGGATTTACAATTACGCAACTATCGTGGTGGTGGTGGGAAGGGTCACATCAGAATCACCTAAGTTTAAAACCCAGGAGGTTATAAGTTCTTCATGCCTCTGGTTCTGAAGCACTTTCCTAAAGACATGCTCCTCAAGTGGACAATCCCTGCTGCAACCAGCCACTTTATTGGTGGAAGAGCAACATCAACAGCTATTTGCCTCAGATGTAGAGAACAAGAAAAAGGTTGACAACTACTGTCAAAACCCCCAAATTTTTAATGTGACCTTATTTTTTAAATGAAGAGATGTGTGCTAATCATTTATTTCTTTTGAAATTACTATTTTTTTWAAATTCTGTAACAGACAAAAGAAAAAATTAACATACCTGTGGTCATGGCTTGGTTTGAAGAGATGCAAGCCATGGTGACAGTGTGAGCAGGAGTCTTGTCAGAAAAGCCAGCTCCAAGGGCAGCCTTCAGGAAACAGTGAATGAAGTGATCATTTACAATGGAAATAAATCATGTAAATGACATTATGAGCACTACTAGTCTGCACTGTGAGTTAGGAAAGGATTCCATTTTTAATATTCTAAAGAGCAATGTTTAGAATAAAATTAAGCCCATCGCAGAAATTATTTACAAATTTTTCATCTTGTTATTAATTGGCAAGAACTGCAAATTCCTGATAGCCAGTTTCTAGTGGCTATAAAACTCTTATGTCTCACCTAATATTTAGCAATGCTTTGCTCAAAATCATCAAGGATTCAATTTGATTTCAACTATGGACCTCTTATGATCTGTGTCCCAGCAGTTATAAAGTTTAGAAGCAAAGCAAAAGTCAACAAACATGAAAATGTTTCTTTTTTTTAATACCTTTATTTATCAATTTAATTTTTTTATGTGGCGCTAAGGATTGAACACAGTGCCTCACTGCTGAGCCACAACACCAGCCCATGAAAATCTTTCTTAAGGAACTGACCATTCATAACAGAATTCCCACTCAGGCCTACTTTAACACTCATCTCTCTTCTAACTGCCACTTAGTCTCTCTCAAGCACGACACTGCTGACCTAAGGCAAAGCAGAACTTGCCAAATATACAGAAGTTCAATTCCATGAAAGAAACCTTAGAAAATTGCCTCAATTACAAGTGAGTCCCTGACAAATAATGGTCACAACAGTTTACAACTGGAAGAGAGGTTGGCCAGGACAATAATGTAAGAGAGTGATTTGTGGTTTGAGGGGCTTTGAGGAAAACTGACATCCTCCATTAATTGGGCATAATGGCCTCTATTTTGGTGGCACAAAAAGTCAAACATGAAAGGAAGATATTTATAATTTTATTATATTATTTATTGGAGAAATTATGCTGCTAACAAAAAAAATGTCTAATTCCATTTTTGCTCATTGAATTAATTATTATAATTTTTCTAATAGTAAAGCTTCACTTTAAAAATTAAGTTCTAGGGGTAGATCAGTGGTAGAGGACCTGCTCAGCATGTGAAGCCTCAGTACTGCAAAATAAAACAAAAAAAATGAAAGCTTCCAATTCCCCCCAACTCTTTACTATGAAATTCTGAATCTCATTACAAGGAATTCACTTTTGGGGACTGAAAGTGCAGCTCAGTGATAAAGGTAGCATGGGTTCAATCCCGAAAGTGCAACAAAACAAAACAAACAAAATTGACTATACTTGGGCTGGGGATGTGGCTCAAGCGGTAGCGTGCTCGCCTGGCATGCGTGCGGCCCGGGTTCGATCCTCAGCACCACATACCAACAAAGATGTCAGCACCACATACCAACAAAGATGTTGTGTCCGCCGAGAACTAAAAAATAAACATTAAAAAATTTCTCTCTCCCTCTCTCTTTAAAAAAAAAAAAAAAAGTGTTCGGGGAGCAAGGGAGAAGAGTTCCTCAGTGGGGCAAGTGTAAGGGGCATTCAGGTTCTAATGGCCTGATTCTCATAAGGGCCTTACAGCATGTGTTGCCCTTGGCCTCAGCTGACTCAGACTGAAGGAGCTTTAAATAGAAGTGGTAGCTGGTGACCCTTGTCCACATGCTTCTATTTAAAGTTTGAATAGTTTTCAAGGTGATAAGGAGAAAAACGGAAGATACCACTTAGTTTAATTGGAAGCAGGAAAATATGAGGAAATCTTTCAGCAAACTCAGGTTCATGAGAAGCTTTTTAGGATTTCAAATTAACTATTAATATAGACACAGGTTCTAAAAAAATTCTTTAGCTAGAAATTATATTTTTATARGTTATAATTTCAACTTTAAAGTTACATTCTCATAAATATTCCGTCAACCTCTCCCTGTAGCCACTACAAAAATTACCTGGAGAACAACATGACCAGTATTAAGGGCGAGAGGGGAAACTACCTCATGTCAATTAATATCTGAGATTTGCATATGAGTTTAAAACTTGCAGGAAAAAAATTCAAAGAAAAATCATGGACTTAGTTTTATTTTATTTTTTTATGGACTTAGTTTTAGGAAACAACATAAATACAGAGAAAACGGAAACAAATTTAACATTTATTTTTAAGTACTCTTATTAAAGTCACTTTATTTTCAGAATATAAGAGTTGAAAATGTATTATGAACAGTTTGATGGCTTTATATACTCATGAAACCATCTCATTTGATACATTCAGAAACATTAAGGTATAGAGAAAACCAAACAATTTAAAATAGAGAAACATAAACTTCTTTCTGTTCCTCAACAACATTTAGTTGATTTCTAAGGGCTTGAGTGGTAGTGACAGGCCTTCGGACAGTTTTAATGTTTACTGAAGGGTAAAATGGTAAAGCAGAACAAACACTTTGAGTCCTGCTCAGCTGCCCTTTTCTCTTGTCGGACAGCGATGAAACTTATTACCTCACAACTTCACTATTCACAAACACAAGCACAGACTAGAAATGAGCACTGAAATGTGCAATGAGGTCAACATTAACCAAATAATCACTTTCMAATTAAAACGAAGCCCAGAAGATGTGGTTTGGTGTTCACTGTGAAATGCCTGTGGGACACATCACAGACATTCCAAGGTCTAACATTATCTCATTGCCCAATGAACTATACATGGAGCTACGCCAACTAGGGTAAAAGTAAACCTCTGTGAAACAGTCATAAAAAAAAAAAAAACCACCGCCTATGTCTCACTAACTCAATGCCTGTGTCTCACTAACTCAATTGGAACAAGTTTTGGGGAGCAAGGGAGAAGAGTTCCTCAATTGGAACTTTCTTCTGCTAATTACAAAAACTAAGTTATTAAATTAATTCTTTGTAAAATGTTGAACTTTTAAATTATTTATAACCATGATATCTAACATTATAAAACATAACACCAGCCACACATTGTCAAAATCTCTATTTTCCTAACACAAGATGAGAGACAATTTAACATTTCTTGAATCCACTCAAATAATTGATTTATTTATAATAAAGAATGAATAAACTAACAGTGCACATCTTTTGATTTATAGTATAATTATCTTTTGTAATATTTTTGGGTTGTAGATGGACACAATATCTTTATTTTTATTTATTTATTTTTATATGTTGCTGAGGATCAAACCCAGGGCCTCACATGTGGCAAGGCAAGCGCTCTACCACTGAGCCCCAGTCCTAGCACTATAGTATAATTATCTTTAAAATTTATTATTTTAGCTGTAAAATCACATTTTAAGACAAATGTAAGTTTACTTAGTATATTTCAAAGACTTTCAAAAAGTAAATTCTATGAACTTTTAATTCAAATTGAATATCCCATTTTTTATAGGACTGGGCATTGAACTGAGGGCCTCACCCATGCTAAGCATGTGATTTTAAACTAAGCCTTATCCCAGCCCCTATCAATCGATTTAAACAATATAAAGTTTGTTTTACTCACCTCTCTAGCCACATTGCTTGTTTTCACTTCCTGAATAACTGTGCCAAAGATGATATAATCAACAACTTCTTTTGGGACATTGGTCCGTTGCAATAAACCCCTGAAAGAAGAAATCCAAAGCAAATAAACACTTTATGCATTAAGGTAGTGTCAGAATCATCACTTGAAACACTGACTAAGCCAAGAGTGATGGTGTTCACCTGTAATCCCAGTCATACAGAAAGCCAAGAGGAGAATTGCCTTGACCAGCCTCAGCAACCTAGGGAGACACTATCTCAGGATAAAAAATAAAAATGGCTGGGGCTGTAGATCAGTAGTAGAGTGCCCCTGGACTTAATCCCCAATATTACAGAACAGAACAAAACAAAACAATGAACTTCCTTAAAAAGGTAAGCCTTATAATGAGAGCCTGTTGGCTTTAATACCTTGAGAACAAATTTGATTAAATGAGCTACTTAACAAATTTTGGGTCTAGTTTTGGGGGGCTAGGTTATTGGGACAATTAACCATGAAAAACACAGTTAAATATACTGAATAGAATATCAGGCAAAAAAAAATATATATATATGTAAATTCTTAAAAAGCTAACTCTTGGGCTGGGGATGTAGTTCATAGGTAGAGCACTTGCCTAGCAGGTGGGATGCCCTGGGTTTGTGCCCCAGCACCATAAAGATAAAGAAATAAAATGTAAATTAAATTAAAAGGTAAGTTTTGAACTTAAAAGGACATTGTATCTTTAATTTAACAAACATTTGGCACCTTATCAAAGAAATAAATGAAAGAGTGATTTAAAAAGTCAACACTTGATGATAAATTGGTAATGAGAAATCAGAAAGGAAAAATGAAAATAATTTGGAATTGGATAAAATAGATAAATAAAAATAATAAAGTCATATTTAGTAGAAACCAAAGTTTCCAGTTTAATAAAAAAAAAAAATTAAAAGAGACAAATAAACCGGGGGGTGGTGGCACACACCTGTAATCCCAGCAGCTCAGAAGGCTGAGACAGGAGGACAGAGAATTCAAAAGTCAGCCTGGGTGGGGAGGGGGCGGTGGCTGGGGTTTTGGCTCAGTGGTAGAGTGCTCACTTAGCATGCCCAAGGCACTGGGTTCAATCCTCGGCATCACATAAATGTAAAATAAAGATATTGTGTCCACCTAAAGCTAAAAAAAAGTCAGCCTCAGCAACAGTGAGGCGCTAAGCAACTCAGTGAGACCCTGTCTCTGAAGTTCAAACCAGCTTCAGCACTTAATGAGACCCGGTCTCACAACAAAAATAAAAAAGATAGGGGATGTAGCTCAGTAGTAAAGCACCCAAGTTCAGTCCCCAGTACTGGCGGGTGGAGGGGGTGGGTGTTAGGAAGTGCTCCAAGTTGAATGAGACCGTATCAAAATAAGAACATGGGTATACACATTTGTCAAAACTCATTAAAGAACACACTTAAAATCTGTGCCTTTTATCATATGTAGTTATACTAAAAAACAAAAGGGACATAAGAACCAACTTGAAGTATCTCCCAGAGATTAAAAAAATGGGATTATTTCCAGTTTACAGAAAATTCAGGAGAGGAAAGTTAAATATCTTCATGAAGAACACCCAGAATGGGCCAGGTACAGCCTCACACACCTATAATCCCAGCACAACTTAGGAGGCTAAGGCAGAAGGATTTCAARTACAAGGCCAGGCTCAGCAATTTAGCAAGGCCCTAAGCAATTTAGCAAGACCTTTTCTCAAAATAAAGCATGAAAAAAGGGCTGGGAATTTGGCTCAGTACCCCCTGGATTCAATCTCCAGTACAAAACAAACAAAACTGGACACCTAGAATGGGATATTCTATAGGAAAGCTGGCCCAGATTTTTCAAAAAGTCAGTCATGGGGAGCAGGGGGAGAAAGAAAATGTTCTAGATTAAAAGAGACTAAAGAACAAGCCAGGCACACTGGTACATGCCTATAATCCCAGCTGCTAGATATTTCTTTATTTTTGATGTKCTGAGTTTGAGGTATCTATGAAAAGAGGTCAAATGTAGAGATTTGGGAGTAGTCTACATTTAAAAAATAAGGATTAAGCAAATGAGATTTTTAATGGAAAAGGGGCATACAGAGAAATATAAACTATTAAGTACCCAGACTTGTAAAATACCTTTAAAAAATAGAAAAAGAATCTGTAATCTCAGTGACTCAGGAGGCTGAGGCAGGAGGATCCCAAGTTTAAGGTCAGTCTCAGAAACTGAGACTAACTGAGTTCTAAGAAACTTAGTGACACTTTATCTCAAAATAAAAACTATAAAGGGCTGGGGTTGTAGCTCACTAGTGGAGTGCCCCTGGGTTCAATCCCCAGTACCATACATAAATACATATACATATATATATATATATATACAGTTTTTTAAAAGTAGAGAAGCAGGTAGGCATGTTGGCACAGGCCTCTAGTCTTAGTCACCCAGGAGGATGAGACAAGAGGATGGCTTGAATCCAGGAGTTTGAAGTCAGCCTGGGCAACATGGCAAGACCCCATCTCAAAAAAAAAAAAAAAAAAAAAAAAAAAGGCAGGGGAGGGGCCAGGCATATAGAAGAACCAGGAAATGATAAAAAAAAAAATCATGAAGGCAGAAAGAAGTCAAAGGACCAGTTTCAAGTAAAGTTTACAGTGTCAAATACAGAGATAGAAGCCTCAAAAAAGAATGGTCCATTTTATCTAGCAATCACAGTTACTATTAAGAGAAGCTTCCAAAGTATAGTTACTTTAGAGAAATGAGACTGAAAATAATTATTATGAAAWTATGGAGAATAAATGATAGCAAGGAAAGAGAAGCAACTGCTACTTGCACTCATTCTTGAAATTTGGCAGGAATAAAAGAAAGAAATTTTAATGGGCAGAAAGGTCAAGTGAAGGACTTTTAGAATGAACTATGGCTGTCTGAGGACACTAAGGCAAAGTGACATTGGAAAATGAATAAGATTAATAACTTACATGTTATTTTTCACTCTAGAAACAGCCATTTAATGACTCTCACAAATTATTAATCCATCTCAATCTCATTTAATCACATTTCCTCCCTCTTCCTGGCTCCCTGTTACTGGGAATTCAATACAGGAGGACTCTACCACTGAGCTAACTCCCCAGCTTTATTTGTATTTTGAGAAAATTTCTCACTAAATTGCCCAGGCTGGTCTTGAGCTTGTGATTCTCCTGCTTCAGCCTCATGAACTGATGGGATTACAGGTGTGCACCACCATGCCTGGCTCAGAATTTTATATTTTTACTTGGTTTACAAATGAATCTTCAGGTTTTTGCTAGACTTCTTTCAAATAGGATAATATCTACATAATCTGCTCAGCTACCTTCATATAGTAATTAAGTTCTTAAGATAATCATCAAATATATATATTGTGTTTAGGTTGATTAATCTAGTAGTACTGAGGCTAGCCAGGTACTCATTAAAGAATATTATCATACCAAGACAATATATAATAAGCATGCAAAATAAAGACTGCTGATATTCATGAGCTGCTCAAATATGTGTAGCACATAATGCTTAAAATGGAAAGTAAATTAATCTTGTAGAAGCTAGTCAATATTTATAACATAAAAATTAATATGTCCTATATATGGAAATTCTATGGAGCATGCTATTTCAAGAGTAAATACTGGACAAAGTACCTTTACTAAAATATGAACGAAAATGAAACTGCATTTACTTACAAAAGTGCTGCTCTAGCCAAATCATGTGGCATCAGGTCTTTATATCTGGGGAAAGAAAACAAATAATTTAAACCAAAGCGTAGAGCATCAATAAATTTCTTTTCATTCTATTTAAAATACCTAGATATCATCTAACATATGCTGCTGAAAATGCACTTACCTTTATTATCCAAAGCAGTCCATCAATTAAAAAAAAAAAAAAAACAGTGACTTTATTATTTGTCATCCTTAAAAATCTGGCAATCCTTAGCTCCTATAGAACTTGAATAAAATCTAACAAAAATGATGACCTATACTTAATTGTTCAGCATGACAAAAGTTAAATCATATTCTTTAAAATTAAAACCCAGGCGTGGTGGCACACGCCTGTAATCTCAACAATTTGGGTGGCTAAGACAGGAGAATCACAATTCAAGGCCATCCTGAGCAATTTAGCAACACCCTGTTTTAAAATAAAAAAAAAAATCCAAAGGGCTGGGGAATGTGGCTCAGTGGAAGCATCCCTAAGTAAATTCCTAGTACCAAAACAAAACAAAACAAAACAAAAACACCCAAACAAAAAATATGGTCAAGTATGTATATAATATTGTGTACAATATTTAAAATTAAAACCCACCTTTTGAGGACTTTAAAAATATTACAAAGTACATTATTTATTTTGTAATGACTAAAAATACATAGGGAATGTATTAGGCTTTTTTGCTTTGAAGTAATTTGAGATTTACAAAAGAACTGAAAAGATAGAACAGTTTTTTATTCCCTCTACCTTGAGCTTCTTCTAATGTTAGTCTTACCTAACCACTATGCATTTATTAAAACTAAGAAATTAACATTAGGGCTGGGGATGTGGCTCAAGCGGTAGCGCGCTTGCCTGGCATGCGTGCGGTGCCGGGTTCGAGCCTCAGCACCACATACAAACAAAGATGTTCTGTCTGCCAAAAACTAAAAAATAAATATTAAAAAAAAAATTCTCTCTCTCTCTCTCTTAAAAAAAAAAAAAGAAATTAACATTAGTATAATACTCAATAAGCTACCAACTTTACTGAGATCTCATTAGTTTTTCTACAGATGTTATTTTTCTGTTCTAGGATCCAATCCAGGACACCATGCTGCATTTAGTTGTCATGCCTCCTTAGTTTCTCCCAATCTGTCATTTCAGTATTCCCTTGTTTCATGAAGAATATCACAAAGGTAAAGTGCTCTTCTTACTTCTTCATTATCAGGGTACAACATAAGATGTCTTATTACTGGTGATGCTAACTCCATCATTTGGTTGCCTGCCAGTTTTCTCCACTATAAAGTTACTCTTTTTCCTTTTCTATAAAACTCAGTCTGTAAGAAGTTAGTMAGGAAGTCCAGCCCACTCTAAAGGGAAGAGAATCAAGCTCCACATCCTAGTGGGAGTAACAATTTGTGGACACATGTTAAAATAATGACAATAAGTAACAAATATTTGGGAACAGGGTAGAGATACTATGAAAATATTCTATTTCTTGTTAACATTTCATCTACTAATTGTACCATTCTTGTASATCCAGGTTGCAGCAACCACTAGTGTGCCATTCTAATGGTGACCTATTTCTTCTCCTCATTCCTTCTATATTCATTAATTGAAACTCTTCCGTAAAAAAGATTTCTTCCTTCTGGTTTATTTATTCTTTCAATCATTTACTTATATGAGACTGATCTTATGAATATTTATTTTATTCTTCAGGTCATGGTTCATTACTACTGTAATTTATGTTGTTGATCATAGTTTCTAGCTTTCATGACTGGGAGCTGTTTAAGGTTGACCCTGCATTTTTTTGGCACAACACATTCTCTCTCTACACATACACATATATATACACACACATTTGAAATACATGTATATATACATATGTTAGCACATATATACACAAAAATATATATACATGTATACAAATACATATATATACACATGTATATATATATGTGTATATATATGTATTTGTATACATATATATATTTATATATACATACATATAGAGATATAGATATCTATGTGCTGTGTGTGTGTGTGTGTGTATATCTCTGTGTGTATATATATCTCTCTCTATAGATTTTTTTTTAAGCACTTGACTTTCTGGCTCGACAAGATGTTCCTGGCTCATCTTGAATTTTTTCTGGCCTGGCTGCAGCCATTCTTCAAAGGAGCCCCTGATTTCTTTTATTGAAGCGACCTATTCAGAAACTAAGCTCTGGGTGTGAACTCTATTTACTTATTGGTTTACTTAAATGTCAAAAGTGAATTCCCTTTAAATAAAAAAAATGAAGTTCTTTAAGTTTCTGAAAATTAAAAAATATCCAAAGACGTTTTTATTTTCACTCTAAATCACAGCAGAATCATCAGAAGTTTCTAAATTTTTCACAGGTAAAATCAGTTTCCTCACCTTAGCATAGAATGAGAGGGGGGGAAAGGCTATGTATCAATTTGAAAATGCCTAAATCACAAATTACTTATTATTTACTCTTATGATCCCACTCTGTTTTCTACCAGAATGACTGACAGACTGCAGAATTCTGCTGTTGGAGTCTGTTTCCAGGAGTATGTCCCAAAGGCTCCTATATCAATGAAGTACTTTCTAGGAAAAACACTCTAGTTGAAAGCAAAGTTTCTTCAAATTAAATGGAAAAAAAATCTTTGTGCTTAGAAAATTATCTACTACTATAGAAGACTTATTTGTTACTTTAATTTTAGCAGCAATAATGACAAAACTGTCACATAAATTTTTCCTTAGAAAATTCCAAATCCAGTTGGGCATGGTGATACAAGCTTGTAATCTCAGTAGCTTGGAGGCTGAGGCAGGAGGATTTCAAGCTCAAAGCCAACCTCAGCAAAAGCGAAGTGCTAAGCAACTCAATGAGACCCTGCCTCTAAATAAAATACAAAATAGGGCTGAGATGAKGCTCAGTGGTTGAGTGCCCCTGAGTTCCTGAGTTCAATCCCAGATACCAAAAAAGAAAGAAAATTCCAAATCCTTGTATTTTCCCTCTATATTACTCTATGAATTTCGGTCACTTTTGTTCTTTACATGAATATTGTCTTAAAATACTTTTTATTCTTTCTTTCCTATTAAGTATTATTTCTTAAATTATTCAAAAGGTTTTCCTCCTTTCTGTATCACTAAATGACTCATAAATTTTCTCTTCTTTAATCGGGATCTGCAAATAAACTGAAACACAGCAATAAATAATATCAAAAGGAAGAAACAATATCTAATGTGCTGAATACCTCAAACCAAATTTCATACAAATACTAGTCACCCAAGAGAATGTCAAATACATAAGTAAATAGTTGAGTATGTTTCTATTTTTAACAGTTGGTAAAACAGAATCAAACACTACATAGTATACAAACAGCTCTTATAAAAAAAGTGGTCTTCCCCACCAAGACCTTTTTTTCTCTTGATGGAACTTTTCTTTTTCTACCCTGTTGCTGCTGAGCACAGGGAATATTAATATTCCATCTCCTCTTCTCTTCCTGCTAAAGCCTTCAGCTTCTTACTCTTACCATTATTGTATCRGTAAAGGAAAGAGATTATAATGAGAAATAAGGTTAAATGGATTACCACATTAACAAAATAGGATGAAGGAAGAAATTTCACCACCATATAATTATAGCAGTACTCCTGAGAAAATACTTTCCAGGTCCTAATTTAAAAATGACTGTTGTTGATTGGTTGTAAATATGTTTATACACACACACACACACACACACACACACACACACACATACTTTTCAAATGATGGCATATTATATACAGCGCTCTGTTAACTACTTTTTAAAAAAATTATTTTTTAGTTTTCAATGGATCTTTTGTCTGTCTGTCTGTCTGTCTGTCTGTCTATCTATCTATCTATCTATCTATCGTGCTGAGGATTGAACCCAGGGCCTCTATCTATCTATTTTTATATATGTGGTGATGAGGATTGAAGCTCTATCACTAAGCTATAACCCAACCCTGTAAACTACTTTTTATAGTTAACATATCTTTAAGATCTCAGATCTTCCATATCAGTATATAAAGATAGGTCTTATTATTTTTACTAAATAACCTAATATTTCTTAAAAGTTTTAAAGTTAGTGTCTGCTTACTCAAAATATGAATACTAAAACAATTTACACAGAATAGAATTGTTTGCACCTAATTACTAAAACCCATTATCAACTTTTAGACAAACTGAACCTCAGTAGAGACACAAAAGACCAAGGAAAACAGCTGTTAGGTTCTAAGGAATTTTCAGGCTGGTCTAGGACCATTCTGGTCCCACACACTTGGGGTTGTGTTATGCCCCTGGTTTGAACCAGACCTGTCAACTTCAAGTCTAATAATCTCCAGGAAGCCAAAGCAGTATATTATGGGCCCTTTGGAGTATCCACAGGCCCACATCTTCAGCACTCAAACTTCTGAGGAGGTATAAAAATATACTCGGGGTTAGGGTTGTGGCTCAGTGGTAGAACTCTTGCCTAGAATGTGTGAGGTACTGGGTTCGATCCTCAACAGCACATAAAAATAAATAACTAAATAAAATAAACTTATTGTGTCTATCTACAAATATATATATAAAGTTTTTTTGTTTGTTTTTTGTTTTAAGTAATATACTGTCTCCAGAAAAGAAAAGGATAGCTCTTGGAAGCAAGGTGTCTGGATCTACATTGGGCTTTCAAAGCATGGCTTATTCAATCTGATAGGTCTGTTTTATGAGAAAGGATAAAAAAATTCTGCCATTTTTATTTCACACTAGCTTAACTTATTCTATATTTATTCCTGGAGTTGCTATCTATACATTAGTCCATTAACAATTTTATTACCTACTAGGTTACATTTACAAAGAACACTTTAGTCAGTAGCATAAAAGAAGGAAAAAATAACATGATAATTTCATACTTACGAAGTGCCTGACAGCAAAAATGGAATGCGAACACCATCCACCACCACGATATTCCTCATATTGGGTTTGGCTAAGGTCTTCTTTGATTTGGGCTGGGCAGCTTTAAGATAAGGATCAGAATTATTAATAAAAATATATGAAATCAGATAACTTTCTACATTTTAAAATTTATTTTGTTTATTATCATTTTTTTAACATGGTACWGAGGATTGAACCCAGTGCCTCACACATGCTAGGCAAGTACTCTATCACTAAGCCACAACCCAAGCCCAACTTTCTACATTATTGAAGACAGTCATTTCTAAGAAGAATTATATCATTCAATGTTGAATTACATTGTTATTTACTAAACCACTTACACAAATATATATATATATACACACACACACACATATACATGCACACACACACATACACACATATATGTATATGTACATATATATTGCGGGGGTGGGTACTGGGAATTAAACCCAAGAGTCCTTTCACCACGAGTTACATCCCTAGCCCTTTTATTTTTGATTTTGAGACAAGGTCTCACTAAGTTGCTGAGGCTTATCTTGAATCCTCCTGCCTCAGCTGATCTTGCAAAGAGGAGTCTGGGAACACAGTTCACATGCATGACTCTAAATAATACTAAAGGTAAACAAAGATTAGCCACAATGATGAAGGTATTTATGTAATTAACAAAATTTTCATTTTATTGTGTTTGACAACCTATTACATTAAAAATAATCAATTTTTTAATATTTATTTTTTATGTTTTTTAGGTGGACACAATATCTTTATTTGACATTTATGTGGTGCTGAGGATCGAACCCAGTGCCTAGGCGAGCACTCTACCTGCTGAGCCACAAGCCCAGCCCCCAAAATAACCAATTTTATACATAAACTTGACATCAGAAGTCACAATTGTTTGATACTGTTCACTCTTTACATAGCTTGATATTCTTGACTTTCTATGTARAAATAAAGGCCACTTGTGATGTGCATTACTACTCTGCAAAAACATATAATACTTCAACTCTGTTTGACTCAATTGGCTAACTCTATTTAACTCAAAAAAGTAACATTCCTGCTGGGTGCAGTGACATGCCTGTAATCTCAGCAACTGAGGAGGCTGAGGTAGGAGGATCACAAGTTTGAGGCAAGCCGTTTGAGACAGGGTCTCACTAAGAGGCTGGGAACATAGCATATGTGAGGCCCTGGGTTTGATCACCAACACCACAAAAATTAGTTAATTAAAGAATAAAATGCAAACATATGCACATCATTTTTTAAAAAGTAAATATTACTAAACTTGAAGAGTAAAAACTAAAATTCCCTCATTAATAATATTTCCTTTCTAGAGGTAAATACTGTTAATTTGGTGTATGAACTTTCAAATCCTTTTGAATACATCCACATGCATAACTTGTGTTACATATATTTTTCTGACTTAACAACAGAATTTGAAGACTTTTCCACATCTTCATGTTATTGTTAATGTTAAAATTCACCTGTTTATCACTCCATTAACAGTGAGGGAAAAGAAATCCTACATTATTACCACACTCATTGATGTCACAGGAAATACTTATGATAAATATCTATGGTCGACTTGAAAGAAACAGTAGTGAGAGCTAAGAGTAATGACAAAAAGGGTCTGAAGATTATCCTGGTAGCTCTATGGAGATGCAGTGGTAGGGGCTGGGGATGTGGCTCAAGCGGTAGCGCGCTTGCCTGGCATGCATGCGGCCCGGGTACAATCCTCAGCACCACATACAAAACAAAGATGTTGTGTCCTCCAAATACTAAAAAATAAATATTAAAAATTCTCTCTCTCCCCCTCTCTCTTTAAAAAAAAAAAAAAGAGAGAGAGATGCAGTGGTAAAGGAGATAAAGGCAACAAGGAGGAAAGCAAGGAAATTGGTAGACCCAAGCATGCGATGCTGATGGCATGGTAAAGGCAGGATCAATGTGAATATAAAGGAAGGGACCAATACAAGAGATTTTATAAAGGAAGACTAGGTACCCTGGTGTACAACCAAATGTAGAAGAAAGGAAAACTGAAAACAAGATTATAAAGGAAGCTTATGGAGACTAAGCAACCCGATACAAAATAAGAACTGGTTTTGGAAGAAAGATGACTTCATTTTAAAATCTGATGTGACGGAGAAACAATCAGGTAGGTATGTCCATTTGGCCCGTAGCTCGAGATGAAAAACTAAACTCTGGAGTGCCACACAGAAAGTTAAAAGATATATAAAGCTTAGAAAGCATCACAGAGTCAAGACATACTTGCCATTTTAYAGTCCCCTCTACAGGGAGCTGTCTTGTTTATAGTCCCTGCCAAAGGTGCTGCCATAAGTGGTTATGTCTCTAAGTCCACAGCAAAAGCCAGTCAGATTCAATGTGGGTAAATCAGACCTACCAACAATCAATCTACAGAGTGGCTGACCAGTGTCTTAGCCCATTTTGAGTTGCTCTGACAGAATACCTAAGCTCAGTACTTAGTAAAGAAGATTATTTGACTCAATTCTGTGTCTGTACAGTTAAAATTACATGGTGCTAGTGTCCTGGTGAAGGGTCCCTCTGGATGCATCACCATAAGGCAAAGAAGCAGGAAAGGAAATGGTCATGTGCCAAAGGGGCTAAGCACATTTTGTGGCCTCACATTATAACAACCTATTCTTGGGGGAACCAACCAGGGTCCTAAAAGAACTGTATTAATTTTTTCTAAGGCTGATACCCTCAATGACCTCATTACCTTCTCTTGGGTGCTACCTCTTAAAGGTTCCACCACCTTTCAACATCAACACAATGGAACCAAGCTTCCAACACATGAACCTTTGGGGGATGTACTCAAACCACATCCAAACCACAGCCACTAGTTACCTATGTCATCTCCTACGAGTGATAAACTGCACTGGCCAGGTTCTCTCTCTCAGGAATCTAAGTGAAGAAGCATGGGAAGAAATGCCCGTTAGTGGAAGCCAAAAAGATGCCAAGATAATGAGCCAAGGTAATGGTAAACTGAAGTCATCTGTTAGTCAGTGTTATGGGACAGCAAAAACAATGAGTAATCAAAGACAACAGAATAGTGAAGGCACACAAAAAGAAGCAGAAAGGACATGAGAGGGGCATACCAGATGGTACACGAGAAAAGCAGCTGTTCCCACAGCTGTATTCTTTGTTCCTAACATTTTCCCAGTAAAGAACCCTTTCATCCTTAACTTGGGGGTCCACTGCCCACAAGAAAAAGATACTCAGCTAAGTGCTTTGCTTTCTCTACACTGGAAGAGCAGAGTTGAGAGACAGCAGGTAACCTTGCGAGGCAGTTTGAGAATCAAAGACACGGTTGTTGAGGGCCATGGCCGAGTCGGGGATGACGCATGGCATTTTTGCCAGAAGTAGTGGTTGAGAGGTGACGCCAGCAAGCCATTAAGATGATGACTTTTGAGTTCTCGTGGAGTTCCCGTTGAGTTCCGGTTGAGCTCTCGCGGGGATTCCTGAAGAGTTCGCATTGGTTGGGGAAGTGCCAGAGGAGGGATTTTCCGGTTGGTGTGTGGTGTGTCGGGGAGAAGGCCCGTGCGGAGAATAAAGGAGTTCCTGTTTTGAACCTACAAGGCTGTGTGGCGGCTCGGTTATTTTGTGCCCAGCCAGACTGTGGCACACGGTGGTGGGGAGTGAGGTGCATGCTCCAGAGAGCCAGACAGATGGTGTATAAGAGCAGGGAAGGCACGGAGAATGAGACAGGTTGATGTTTCAATCCTCAAGGCAAATGAGGACCGAAAACAGGCCACTAAATTTGCAGATTACTTATGACTGACCTTAGAAAGAATAATGTGATGAAAAGACTGATGATACATGATCATTGTGCTTTTCAAGAACTGAACACGTACTCTTTTTATATATTTTCGGATAAAATTTGAATTCTTTATTCCTCTAATGAATTTCATACTTTACTTGGTTCCTCCTTAACAATCTGAAAGTATTTTCCATGACTCTTCAAAATATAAAAAGTCGAGCAAGTTCCCAGTCCCTTACAGCTTTGCTTACTTCAACCTCCTTACCTTTTTTTTTGTGTGTATGTGACGTTGTTGGGGTATATAATCTTTTTTTTTTTTTTTTTTTTTTGCCCCAACCTCCTTACCTCTATTCAGGGACCTTTCCATCTGTATGGTCCCATTTCATCCAATTTTTTCAGGTCTCTCAGGTTACTTAACATTCTACCTCCTAGTAAAACTTTCCTGATAACTGTGATTACCTGTAGTCACTGCCTCTGAAATTCTATGGACAGCACTAGGGCAAAAATTGCCTATGAAACAATTATTAAAAAGTAAATTAAACTAATTCTATAAACCATATTTTAAAAACATTTGTTATTCATTATGTATTGAACATAATAAATATGTCTCCTAGAGGATTCTCATTGTTTTTCATGTGCACACTGGCTCTTAGGCACATCAAAATTTTCTCAAGGGCAATAAATCAGCTCCTTTATATGTATTCTACTGTGCTAAGGGCACACAGTAGAAATGAATCATAAGAATCTGAATTAAGAGTTCTGACAACAATTTCTTATTTGCAAATGAGGAAGGACTCGATGACTTCAAAATCTAGGATTCAATGACTGTCTGATTCATATATTCTTCACRTACAATTAAAATCAAAGAAGATAAAGATGCATCAAGAATTATATAGCTGCTATATTTCCATATGTATATATTTAGAGAGAGATGTAAACATAGGTATATATAACCAGCAAAGTGTCATGAGCCATTCTGGACAGGAGCTATGTATGTGGTGAGCCAACCATAGGCTGTATGTGAATGAACTATGAACACTGAGCACACAAAGTGGACTGGACATTGCCTCCCATTTGGGCTGTATGTGTCCTTTTCACTTGTTCTGCCTATGATCCCCACACAGCACATGGGAAGGGCATAGCCTTCCAAGATGTCAGTCTGCTGACAGCAAGACATCGCGAAGTTAGACTCAACCCCCTGAAACCTGACCCCTTGCCTCATTTGAATAGCTTCTCCCCAATAAAAGGGTTCAGAACATGCTCCTCACTCTCTTTCTTGCCTGCCTTGCCTCCTTTGTGGGGGCTGAGTCAGAGAAGCCATCACAGAACCCAAAGAAAAAGGTATTTCTCTGTCTTTGTGTGATTATTTCGTACCAGCCCAGTTCACCTGGAGTGACCCTGACTGGTTTAGTACTGTGTCATGATAGCAAGYAGTCAAAATTTCCTGGAACACATAGTTCACCAGAAAACATCATCAATGAATCCTATACTCCTTTCTTCTAATTCCTTCATCCTAACAGCCCAGTCAAGCAGGGACATTCACATGAGTGGGAAGAGGAAATATTAGTAACAAAATTACTGCAACCTAAAACCTGCTCAGCACTAGCACATGCCACTCCCTGCCCTCAAATCAGCTGGTCACATTTCTTTGTTTTATTAGGCGCCTTATTGCACCATTATCATCATCAATGTTAATACAAACCACTTATAGGACACCATGTTAGACACTGAGGACACAGAAAACTCGTCTCACAAGAGTTTCACAATGTAGTTGGGCAGACAAAATATAACAAAATAGTTACAGAGCAACATGAAGAACAGTCTCAATGCCACATAAATGCCTTCTTTGTAGGCATTCAGAATGACCTTCTCCCACTCAGCAAGATTAGGTCTATTTGTGTGAATGTGCACAGCAAAGGCCTGGTGCACATTTGAATTAGGGAAAAGGTGAAATGAGACAGAAAGAAATTATTCTTTGTGGAGCTAACAAAAATCTACACTCTAGTTAGAATTTAGAAGTCATAGAAAATCTAYTTGTTACACGACAACATGAAACTTCTCTAATTGTGATTAGGCACAGATCTCTGAGAATATAACAATACCATCTTGAACTTGAGTTTATAGGGTTTTTAAAGGGCTTTGAGATATCTTCATAGCTATATATCATTGTCAAGACTAGAATTATTTCTTGTTTAGAGGAAGAAACTAAAGCACAGGGAAGTAAGGTGACCAATTCAAGGCCACACTGCCCAAGAAAGTATAGCTAGAACCCAGTACAAGTCTTCTGAATCTTGGAAGGTACTTTTTCTATTCTTATGTAAGTAGAAAGACCAACATATAACCAAAATGAGAGGTATAGGTCAATACAAAAAAAAAAAAAAAAAGGCAAGGAGAAAAATGCTAAGAATTTGTCAGGGTATTTTTGGCACTGACCAGTGAAGATATATACCTAAAGCAAATTCTGCAGAAGCGTATATTCAACCATGAAGAGGCCTAATTCACTGGTTTTACTGAGGGTCTAAATGACCATATCAAATCAATAAATTTCCTTACTTTTATTTCATGTTAGCTRAACAATTTTCTTTTATTAACTAGTTCCCCTCTATATCAATAATACCTTATAAATGGGGTAAGAAGATATTCAATAGAGAAGCCTATCACTAACTGCAAATTTTAAAAGTTAACTTTTAGCTCCATAATGGTCTCAAGGCTACTTGTAAACTAATCATCTCTAGGACTGATAGCCACAGGGTAAAAAAACCGACCAACAAGTTTATGGAAATTTCATGAATCCAATGAGCTTCAAAACACAAAAAGCTATCTCCTATCTTCAAGCCCTATAAGTTTTGTTTGCAGTGGTGTGAATTGAACCCAGGGTATTACACATACTAAGCAAATGCTCTACCACTGAGCCACATCCCCAGCCTAATCCATAATGTTTTGAATTTGAAGGTAATAGTGATGTTCATGTTGCTGACAAAAAGAGAACTAGCAAATTAGTTTTGGTTTTTACTTAAAATTCACAAATATAGAATCTAACACTTAAATAAGAAATGTTTGTTTTTTAAATTACTGTACCTGAGGCAGCTAATAGCTGGGAGGAACAGCTTAAAGGTCTTACAGCTGAAAGACAAAATAAATTATTTACAAAAAGCAATATCTTTCAATGTAAAGTGCTCATAAATCCAAATCTAATTTTAAAATTGAACAATTATACTTACAAAATCTGAGGGCCCATTTTGATGTATTGGGAAGGTTTTTTAAAGTGGAAGTCAAGATGGAAGTCATTTTGAAACCTAAAAAAGAGAAGAACAAAGTATATCCTAGGTTATTTGGGCAATTTGTGGTCTATAATCTCTGATAACCATAGCTAATATAAAACTAGTCTATCTTTTTTCTAATAATGACATTATAATAGCTGTACTGTTATAGTTTTCACACTATTATAAGCACTAACCATAGAATTCTCACAATGACCTAAGAATCAGGCATGATTATTATAGATTTTTGTGAGATGAGGGAACAGAGGCATAGAGGGATTTAGTGACTTGCCCAAAGACCCAAAGCTAGTAAATAGTAGAGCTGGGATTTGAACCCTGGCAGTCTAGCTCCAGGTTTGTGCTTTTCTCTTTCAGGCCAAAGAAACAGACTGCTGGACAGGACCATGAAAACAATAGTGTTAATCCCCTGCCTTTGAAGGCTGTGTTATGATTATATAGAAGGCTTTATGGAATATCTGTATTTTAGGAATATCTGAAACACTAAAGTTTTCAGAGATGGGGAAGCATCACATTAGGAGCTTACTCTCAATTGCTATTAGAAAAAAATTTTGAAGTTATGTACTTGCTACTTTTTTCTTCAAAAGTTGGTTTCTATTCCAAAATAATTATAAAGCCAAAAAACATATAAAAAGCCTATATAGTAAAAATATTTAAAATATATCAGGTCCCAAAATGTTAAATTTCCCAATTTGTTCCTACAAAACAAATGGGGGAAAAAAAAAACAGCAAATGGATACAGGATATGAACAGACTGTTAAGAGAAAAGGAAATATAAATGGCTCTTCAATATATGAAAACATCTTCAGTTCTACTTATAAGAGAAATTAAAATTAAAATCACACAGATTTAATTGTCTATAAAATCAGTGAAGAATCAAAAAGTCTTGACATATACTGTGTGGATAAGAGTATGAATAAACACACACTCATATGCCGCCACCAAGGTGTGAACTGTGCAATTCCTAGGCAGGACAATTTGGTAATTATTTGCCTACACTAAAAAAGTTTTAATGTTTTATTTACTCCCAAAATTTTTTAAAAATATATTAATTTTTTAGTTGTAATTGGACACAATACCTTTATTTTATTTATTTATTTAGTTATTTATTTATTTATTTTTATGTGGTGCTGAGGATCGAATCGAGGGCCTCACAGATGCTAGGCGAGTGCTCGACCACTGAGCCACAACCCCAGCCCCACATCTGACTTTTAATTCGGCAATTCCACTACCATGAATTTACCTTATTGGACATTATATTCATGACTTATGTTGCCACCATAATAGCAAGATTAGAATAACCAACAAAAAGGGCACTAGATAAAAAAATCATGCTACAACCCTATATTATGCACCTGTAAGAGATAAAGAAATTATTATGTACCAACACAGAACCATTTCTTTTTTTGGTACCAGGAATTGAATCCAGGGGCGCCTAACCACTGAACCACATCCCTGCCTCTTTTTATATTTTATTTAGAGACAGGATCTCAGTAAGTTGCTTAGGGCCTCGCTGTGTTGCTGAAGCTGGTTTTGAACTTGAGATCCTTCTGCCTCAGCCTCCCCGGATGCTGGGATTACAGGTGTGTACCCAGCGCACAGAACCATTTCTAAGCTATATTATTAAGTGAAGAAAACAGGATACAAAATAGTGTGTATCAATCATGTTTAAAAAAAGAAAAAAACAGTATGTAATTTCCTTCTATCAATATAAAACATCCTTGGAAGTACAAAGAAAATATTAAAAAATAATTTTTAGCAGGAAGGAAGGGAAACTTAAGTGGAAGGAACACTTGTCATTGGATATTTTTTATAATTTCTTAATTTTGAAACATGTTTTAATTTTTAAAAAAATGAGAAGAACTCATGGGATTTGTCAATGAAGGTTATGGTAGCCAACCTCCAAGCTGAACTCCAATAAACTTCCCCTTTTAGTACTCATACCCTTGATTGGTTGCCTCCCTTGCTACACTGCAGTTGGTTTGTTTAAACAAAAGAATATGTCAGAAGTGATGGTATGTCTCTCCTGATATTAGGCTATAAGAAATACTGCAGCTTCAGTCTTAAGTCTTTCTCTCAGATCATGCTGGGGGAAGTCAGATGGCACATCACAAGCAGCCTTATGAGGAGGCTTACATATTGGAAAAACTGATACCTCCTGTCAACAGCCATATGAGAAAGCTTGGAAGTCAATCCTCTAGCACAGGCAAGCTTTCAGATGACTACAGCTCTAGCCAACATATCTGATAGCATCTCATAAGAAACTTGTTAGGGGGCTRGGGATGTGGCTCAAGCGGTAGCGCGCTCGCCTGGCATGCGTGCGGCCCGGGTTCGATCCTCAGCACCACATATAAACAAAGATGTTGTGTCCACCAAAAACTAAAAAAAGAATAAATGTTTTAAAAAATTCTCTCTCTTAAAAAAAAAAAAAAAGTTTAAAAAAAAGAAACTCATTAGAACAACCCAGCTAAGTCACTCCATATTCTTGACTTGAAGAAACTGTATGAGAACAAATATTGTTTTAAACTGCTAAACGTGGTAGGACTTTGATACTTAACAACAGATAATATAAAAGCCTTAAGGTTTAAAAGGCTTATGCCTTATGGCTTTCAAAAAGGAAAAAAAAAAATCACATGTTCCAAACATATGGACTGGAAAAAGATGGAGGAGTCCAAGCTCTAGCTAGGCTCACCAGCCTAGAGAATATTCCAGGGATTCTGGCCAGGGAAACTCAAAAGAGGCCATGAGATGACTACCTTCATTTCTAGAAGCTACTTACAATACCACAGAGCCTGGGATAAATTCCCTTAAGTAGGCCCATTTTGAAATAAAATCCATGAAAATAATCCAAGAAGTATTAAAAACAAAAGGGGGAACCTTGCTTTAAGAGATGTCAAAACTTTTTATAAAGCACTAGTAATGAAAATAGAGCAAGTTCTAGCACAGGAATGAATGAAACTATCAACAGAACAGGATGTAGCAAGTTTAGAAGCATACCCACATATAAGAGAATTTAGTATCCAAATACAGCATTTCAACTAAGTAGAAGAAAGATGAATTATCCAAAAAAATTGCAGGGAAAATGGCTAACCATTTGGGAAAAAATTGCATTCATAGCTCACATCATAAGTACAAAAGGGGCTGGGGTTGTGGCTCAGCAGTAGAGTGTTCGGCTATCACGTGCAAGGCCCTGGGTTCGATCCTCAGCACCACATTAAAATAAATAAATAAAATAAAGGGATTGTGTCCAACTACAACTAATAAAATAAATATTAAAAAAAATTAGTACAGGGCTGGAGATATAGCTCAGTTGGTAAAGTGCTTGTCTCGAATGCACAAGGCCCTGGGTTCAATCCCCAGCACCACACACACACACACACACACACACAAATAATAATAAGAACAACAACAACAACAACAACAACAACAAAAGAATGCAAGATGGATTAAAGATTTAAATATATTTTTGCAACTATAAAAGTGCCGGGAAAAAATACCAGTAGATAATCTTAGATAGGAAAGGGATTCCAATCTCTTGCACAAAACCAGAAGCCATAATGGGAAACAATAATTAATAGATCTGATTATATAAACATTTAAAATACAYACATAGCAAAAGATACTAAACTCAAGTTAAAAGGCAAACAATAGATTCAGAGAAAATATTTGTAATATGTACAACAGAAAGGATTAATATTCATAATTCACAAAGAACTTGTTTCAAATTATAGGAAAACAAAATCTATAATGGAATATGTAGTTTTTAACTCCAGTATGCCTTTTACCCCATTACATAGTTGCTATATGTGCTTTACGTGGGATTGAATTCAGTCCAACTTCAGGATTTAACCCATTATTACAATCTCATTCTCTATACCACGATCAATGGTTCAGGTAACTAAGGTCTAAAACTTTGCATGATATTACCTTGGCCACTGGTATTGATAACGGATGGTTTAATCAGCCTAACATTAAGTCTTCCCCCTGGAATTCTAGAACATAAATCTTTCCTTTCGATGTTTCAAATGGCTATAGTACTATGAAAACACGAACAATACTAGCCTAGGAAAGAACCAACTCCAAAAAGAACAGAGCTAAGAATTTGAAGGAAAAAAACTTGGAACCCTGGTCGGATCCTTTCTGAAACCCTCCTCTATTGTGTTTTTAGTTCTGTAAGCCAATAAAAAACCCCTTTAATCAAGTTGACTTAAATTATCTGAAAGATCCCTTCCTAATGCACAGATSAAAAGCAAAAAGGAGCAAATGAGCAACTCAGAAGAAATTAAAACGTCAGGGGCTGGGAGTTGTATTCGCCTGGCGCGTGTTGTGAGGTCCTGGTTTTGATTCTCAGGACCCCCCAAAAAAGAAAGGTAAAGCAAATAAAATAAAAACAGTTCCCTCTCACTAACAATAAAATCTTTTTAAAAAAATTAAAGCAAGGTATCATTTCAAATTTATCAGATTGGCAAGTATTAAATATATGGTTAATACAAAATTCTGGTAAGAATAGTTTTAACCACTTTCTTATTTTATTTGACAGAAGTATAAATTGCTAAGACCTTTTTGGAAGGCAATTTTATAGCTATTTGTCAAAATTAAAATTGTAAATTTCCAAATTCAAAAAAACTCTTATTCGTCTCTAACCTCTGGAAATATTCAAAATGCATGTGTTTCACACATATTTCTCAAGCTTATAGGAGTACTCAAGATATTCACTGTAGCACTGCTTACATTTGTGAAAAACTGGAACTAATCTAATGCACATCAATAGGAAATATTTAAATTACCATAAGCTTAACATGAGATACTGTAAGGGGGTTGAAAAGAAAAATGAAACATACATATACATTATGTATATATTGACAAGGAAAGATGTCCATAACATATATTAAATGAAAAAGAAAGCTTCATGGGGATATAGCTCAGTTGGTAGACTACTTGCCTTGYATGCACAAGGCCCAGGGTTCAATCCCCAGCAACACACACAGGCACAAAAAAAAGAAAGCTGCAGAACAAATGTATAGTGAGACTCCATTTTGTGTCAGAAAAAAAAAAAAATCCATAAACCTGAATCTCTATATGGAAGGAATAAAGAGGTATTATTTTTTTTTCTTTTTGCTGCTCGGGAGTGTGGAAATCYGGGGCCTCCCCTACCACTGAGCTACACCCTTAGCCCCAGTTTTTACATTTTTAAAGAGCTGTAAACAAAACAAAAAATATATAGCAGAGACCAAAGTGGACTCACAAAACCCAAACTACTTATTGTTTGGCCCTTCCRAAAAAAGGTTTGCAACCCCTGATCTAAATAGGCCCTGCATGCAATAAGGTTCATAACAGAGTACTATGTGGGCACAAGACAGGCTCAGAACTGGAAATTATCTTTTGGCATCAAGAATACTTTTTGTGCCAGGGTCCTGTAATCCCAGCAGCTTGGCTTGGTAGGCTGAGACAGGAGGATCACSAGTTCGGAGAAGCGCTAAGCAACTCTGTGAGACCCTGTTTCTTTCTTTTTTTTTTTTTTTAACTTCAGTTGTAAATGGACACAATACCTTTATTTTATTTATTTATGTGGTGCCTCACACAGGTGCGGCAAGCGCCCTACCGCTGAGCTACAGGCCCCCACCCCCACCCCATTTCTAAATACAATACAGAAAGAGAAAAAGGGGCTGGGAATGTGGGTCAGTGCCCAAGTGCCCCTGAGTTCAATCCCTGGTATCCGCCCTCCCCCACCGCCCTCAAAAAAAAAAAAAATCCTTTTTGCAATTTATGAGAAGTGGTTACCAGTTTCTGCTTAAAATGCTCCCAGTGATGGAGGACTTTAAAACAGAAAAGGCTCTCCTTTCTTTCCATACTTCTCATTTAAGTCTCAACTTCCCTGCCATTTGTTTCCTTTCTTGTATAAGAGTCAATCTGGTGAGTAGTGAAGTTCAGCTTTTTATGTCTAAATCCTGGCTTTGCCAAAGACCAGAAAGTTTGCATAATCTAAGCCTCCTTTTTATGTCTAAATCCTGGCTTTGCCAAAGACCAGAAAGTTTGCATAATTTCATTTTCAACCAAAAAACTGAAACTAATTTTGGGATTATGAGGATTAAATAAAATGGTGCCTGGAGCAGGATAGATCCTCAGTATTACGTTAAAAAAAAAAAAAAAAAAAAAAAAAGGTCACTGTATTCTAGGACCGGAGCCCATCTTTCAACACAAAACAGCTATCTTGCAATGCAGAGTTCTTAATTAAATGTAGATTTAGGCTCTAGTCCTATCACCTGTGGCCATGGACGAACCCACTCTGATTGGTCCGGGTTTGTTTCTTCGCCAGTAAAGTTCGGAATCGGGGTGGGGGGCAGAAGGGGGATGAGTGACCAGATGATCGCCAGGTCCCTTCAAGATTAGAAAGTGCCCCTGAGCACTGGGTCACCAAGCAGGATGGCCAGCCCCCCCCCCCTTAAGAGCAGACATCAGGGTAAACCCATGGCACGGTTCTGAATCTCAACAGCCTCTAACTTGGYTACAAGTAAAGAAGTGAAACAACAACAAACACTCAAACGCAGCCCAGCGTTTTAGGCACACACTCATGCAGTTAGTTAACCTGCGGTGATAAATTAAGACCGGTGACCCTGCCGCTCTGAGCTACTGCTATAACGCGATTCCCAGTCACTGCCTATGCGCTGCGCACTGTCGGCCCGGTCGGAAGACCTCTCTCCGGCTTGTCCACTTTCTACTCTTCCAGGGAGAAGGAGCCGCGGACACTGGCGCAGCGAGTGTTCTCTGTTCCCGCAAGCAAGGAAGTGGGATCTGCTTGGGGGCGACAGGAAAAATAAAAAGCCAAACAGGCCGAATATCGGGTGCAGTGCACAGTCTCACCTCAGTCCGCTTCCGTGGGGGATCTCACTCCCGCCGAGGTTCGGTCCCGAGTGCCAAGACCTACAGGGACCGGGGCGTAGACCCGTCCTAGAAAGGACCCCTCACCCCCGCCAGCAAGAGTTGCCGACCTTGCGGACTGCCCGCCAGCCGCCTGACTAAAAAAACCGGCGCTCCGCCCCCTCTTCCTAGGACCTTCGTCCTTGGGCAGAGAAAGCATCCCTTTTGGCCCTGTGAGCCGGGAGGGAAGGGCAGTGTTAAGAGGCTCGTAGCAACTCAGCGCCTGGGTTTTAGTCAGGCAATTCGTCGGGCGCCTGGCCAGTTAGGCTATAGGAAAAAGTGGTCTGCTCTTGCCGCTGGAGATAGAAGCGCTCTCTACTTTCGTCCTCTCCTGTTCAAGATGGTGGCCTCCCGAGCAATTGGCAGCCTCAACCGCTTCAACGCCTTCAGGATCCTCCGCTCCCGAGGTGAGACCTGGCTGAGGGCACCTGGGAATCTCAGATAGAACTCCTGCAGGAACTGGAGCGGCTAAGAGCTGCGCCTGTCCCTCGCTGCCGCCTGTCCACTTCTGCCGAGTGACCCCTTCTGCCTGGGCATACTGTCCTGGAACCCCTTTTCCTGTGTCCTTGAGAAGGGACTGTCACTAACTCTCACAGCTCCCAAGTCCTGCAGCGATTTCAGGCTCCGTAACTCCCAGCATTTCTGAGCCCTTTCCACCCACTCTGGCTGTTTCCGCAGGTCTCCCGCGTAGCACTACTGGGCTCACGCCCTTCTTGTTTTTATTTATTGTTGGCCTGGGCCTGACACAGATCAGGAGGATCAGGACCCAGTCTGTCTCRTCGTTGAGGCCCCACAGCACCTTGACTTGCAACAAGAGGTGTCTTACAAGCTTCTCGGATGAAACTGGCCAGCCTTGGAGATCCCTGCCATTCCCTGCTCCTTCCTAAGAACCATTTTTGTACTTAAATGCGTAGCTGAACTCTTGAAGTTTCAATAATTCCTGTGTGAACATGTAGTATGTGGAAACGCGAGGTTTTGCACCTTGACACATTTTAAGCATATGCAAATAACTTGAGTCCTAATAAATAAAACTTTACATAATTTTAAGACCTATATCTAATTTTGTTTCTGCTGTATTAGGTATATTATCTTTTTTCCTCCTGAAAATCAGCAGTAAATGTGTCAAAGAGGGTAGCTCTAGAAAACCTGTCATTTTTCTTTTGTCCCAAATCTGTGAGGTCCAACGTGGACTTCACTGCATGTTTCACTTAATACCACTTAATTATGAACTTTTGCTTTAATTTGTAATATGAATTCTCTCCTTCCTGCTGAACCAGTGGGTAGTGTTTTTTTTGTTTTTGTTTTTTAAGACAGGTAGCTGGAGTCTCCCTTAACTGCAAGGAATTAATTAAATGATTGAATCTTTTTCTTCTTTATTTTTTCAGCCTATTTTTAATCTCCACAGGATGCTTATGTATACCAATCATAATATCACTACATTACAAAAAAATGAAATGCTGTAAAGACTAGAGAAAGAGATTAAGAAAAAAGAATCATCCATTGTCTTACTACTCACATTCCTCCCGTTAGCATTTGATTGCGTTTTCACTTCATATTTTTCCTTATTTTCCACATATGTCATTTAACACTTTTGAAAAATCATATTTTTGAATTTGCTCCTGCAAAATTTGTAAGGCATTTCTTATAGATTGGCACTAATGTAGTAGTCAGGCCACATGGTTTCCGATCACTAGTTGTGTTACTTTGGACAAATAACCTTAATCAAAATGGGCTTTATTTTCTTATCTGTCAAATGAATGGTTGAGACTGTAAACTTTCTTTAGCATTGAGAAGTAGAGTGTCAGAACAATTAAAAGCATTAAACATGGGGTCTGACTTCTGGGTTTGAAACCTTGGGGTGACCTTGTACAATTAATTTCTATATCTTTTCTCATTTTTAAAATGGGAGAATAGTTCTACTTTGTGAGGTTATGAAGATATAAAGCAGTTTATCTTGAAGTAAATGCTCAATAAATGTTCACTATTAATAACTGTTTTCAACCCTGGAGAACTATAATTATGTACATCCAAGAATCCTCAATTTATTTCATTTAACATGTGTGATAAAAAACAGCTTAATCTTTATATTTTCTCTATAGAAATTTATGTGCCTATATTTTGCATTGTTTCCACCAATTAGAAAATATGTTTCGTGATAGTTACTGCTTTTTTCTTTTTAAAAAAAATATTTATATTTAGTTGTAGTTGAACACAATACCTTTATTTCACTTATTTATTTTTATGTGGTGCTGAGGATCAAACCCAAGGTCTCACACATGTGAGGCAAGCGCTCTACCCCTGAGCCACAATCCCAGCCCAGTTACTGCTTTTTTCGATAGCAATTTATAAATTTTGGAAAAATATCTACAAAGTGAATTTTAAATTACCTATACACCTGGATTACCATTTTTAGACAACAGATTGTTCCTTTACCTTGAATGCGTGTGCCAGTGCATTGTACAGACTTTTAAAAAAAATACATATTTTTTTAGTTGTAAGTGGACATAATACCTTTATTTTATTTTTATGTGGCACTGAGGATCAAACCAAGTGCCTCACTTGTGCCCAGCGAGTGCTCTATTACTGAGTCACAGCCCCAGCCCCTGCATTGCAGAGACTTTTAATGAGACTATGACATTTGCTGGGAAATGATTGAACTCTCTTGAAACTGACTTGTAATTCTTGAAGTTTTAGTGCACTCGTGCTCTACAAGTGCTAGAATTCTGACTATAACTATGAAATGAAAATCACATCTTGACCATGGTATCTAATTCCTACTCCTTCTCAATCTAAATTCCTAATTATGTCAGTAATAAGTTCCACAGGTTCTCAATTAGAGAAAAATGTGATGTAGTGTTTTTTAATTCGAGACTCACTTTCTTAATCCCATTTCTTCTCTCAAGGTTAAATTTTGAGGAAAGCTGTTGTTAAAAGGAGAATAACATTTTCAAATTCGAAATTTGTGTCAGTACAATTCAGCTGTCTCCACTGATTGTAGCTCACGTGATCTTTATATATTCATTTGAGTTACATATAAAGATGACTAAAAAGTAGGACAAAGGTTTCTCTTTTCCTGGCATAGCAGATGTAGGCTAAAGTTCATCCGGCTGCTAGAGTAAGCTTTGGTATTATGCATTGGTAAAGACAGATTCCAAAAACAAAGTTACTTTGTACTTCAACTTGATTTAGTTGAGTATGGTTTGGAATTCTTTTCTAAATATATTTGTGCATTTATAGATTTTCTCTTTTTGTTCCTATTTTAAAGAGGTTTTATGTAAGTGTGTGGGTGTGTTTACAGGAAAGGAGGGTTAGTTGGCAAGAGTTAAAATGGCTTAAACTATAGGTCAATGCACACCTCCTGTTAGCTCAAATATTTGATCTTTAAAATTGCAATCCATGGGGCTGGGGATGTGGCTCAAGCGGTAGCGCGCTCGCCTGGCATGCGTGCGACCCGGGTTCGATCCTCAGCACCACATACAAAGGCGACCCGGGTTCGATCCTCAGCACCACATACAAAGACGTTGTGTCTGCCAAAAAATAAATAAATAAATAAATTAAAAAAAAAACAAAAAAAAAATAAAAAAAAAAAAATAAAATTGCAATCCATGCTTGCTCTTAGTTTCTCTTCTTTTTTCCTTAAGCACTTCTGATGTACTTATTTACATATTCATGTTTCTTGGATTTTCTCCTTCTACTTTGCCTGTCCCAAACTATTCTCCCAGTCAGTCGGTTCTTGCTCTGCCCTATTCTAGATGGAATGGCTTATCCCCTGCTTCCCTTCCCACTAGAATTTCTACTTTACAAGCAAACTTCTTTTGGATTCTGGATTGATTGTCATGTTTTCATTTATCTATATTGAGTAGGAACTGATTTTTCCTAGATATCATATCCCCTGTTGCCCTGGAATGTAATCTCCACCAAGACAGGTTTTTTGTTTGTTTGTTTTCTACCTTTTTACTTCAAGTTCCTAGAACAGTGCATGTTAGGTCATAGTAGATTTTTTTGAATGATGTGTTGCTGGAAGGGATCATAATTTAGTTAACAGAACACCTGCTATAACTGCTGAAATTAGAGAACAATCAGTAAATGATAAAGGTCAAAAAGCAGGAAGACAGCAGTTTGCAGTTGCTCATGCCTATGATCCCCACAATTCGGGAGGCTAAGGTAAGAGAATCACAAGTTTAAGGCCATCCTGGGCAACTTAAAAAGACCCCATCTCAAAATAAATAGAAAAGGGCTGGGGGGATAGGTTAGTGGTAAAGCACCCCTGGGTTTAATTCCTAGCACACACAAAAACAACAACAAAAACAAATTGGGCAGGGAGCAATTGTAGTTGTATAGTTGAAATCTGAAGGTGAGGTTTGTGGAAAATATTAAAACCACGATGCAAATACAAAGAAGGAAAATTGATAAATACAAATGACACAGATTTCAAATGGTAGAGAAGCAGAGGGGAAGCATGTCATTAGTGAAACAGGCACTGAATGAAAATGATGGCTGGCTTTTCCTATCTTAAAACACTGAAATTCACCCAGAGACTTGTTCATGATCACACAGGTAGTGAATAAACCTAATGATTGAACCCATTCTTTGTCTTTGTACTAAGAGGGCTGATTTGGATTGCTTAGAAAACAAATGCAGACAGAGAACCTGAGATCACCCTACTCTGGTTCTGGGGCCAGATATAGTTTTCTCAGTAATATGTTATATTGCCTTTCAAGACCTATATAAAGCTGCTATTTTCTGTCCCTTCCTTCCTCTTCCCTTCCCTTTTCTTCCTTTCCCTTTCCCTTTCTTTAAAAAATTGAAAGATGGAGAAAAAAGCTGATAGAAGCAAGAGCCTTGGCTAAATATTGATTCCTCCCCATTCTACCCATCATTAGGTTCTCCAAATCAGTGGTTCCCACATATTCAATGAAAAATTAGAATTCAATGAAAATAGAAGTATTAGTACTAATAATTTAAAAAATAATATTAATGGGGGGCCAAGAATGTGGCCCAGTGATAGAGTACTTGCCTAGCATGCAGGAGGCCCTGGATTTGATATCTAGCATTGAAAAAAACCAAAGAAAACTTTCTCGTAAGACTACAGCAAGATTTGAAAGATATGGGGAGGAAAAAGGAGTATAGCATTAAAGAGGCACATAGGAGAAATGGTTTAAAGTAAACCATGAATGAAAGACAAGGGAAGAAAGGTTTTTTTGAAGGCGACTGGAAATTGTTATTAAGAGATGTTGACACTGGGTGTCCTCCAGAACAACTTGGTTACCACAGAGAGCAAGATGTTTGGATGAGAGCAGAATAAAAGTGACCCTTAATGGTAAAAAGAGAAGGAGGAATGCCCAGAACAAATTTGCCTAGAATTCCCCAATATTCCTTACCTTCTCTGTTAGAGTCCAAATTGAAAGGCCCTCCACGAACCAAAAGATCACATCAGCATTGTTATTATGGAAAAACCCAGTCCTGGTGTATGAGAAGGGACCATGTGACTGAAGAAAGAAGCAGATAGATCCAGGATTGCACAAAGTACAATTTATTGGGGACTTAATTTTCAGAAGTGTGCTTGGGCTGCAGCACAACAGGTCAATAAATCTCATTCCCAAGGTAGGAGGAAGAGTCCATTGGTGAGGTGCAATGCTGGAGATCAAACCCAGGACTTCATGCTTGCTAGGCCACTAAGCCACATCCCCAGACTTAGGAAGATGGAATTTGTATGCTAAGCTAGTCAGAGTTGGGCCACCAACCAGCAAATACCTGGTCTTCCTCAAAAACTATTAATATGTCCATTGTCGGGCTGGGGATGTGGCTCAAGCGGTAGCGMGCTCGTCTGGCATGCGTGTGGCCCAGGTTCAATCCTCAGCACCACGTACAACAAAGATGTTGTATCCACCGAAAAACTAAAAAAAAAATAAAATATTAAAAATTCTCTCTCCTTCTCTCTCTCTCTCTCACTCTCTTTTTTTTTTATTTTTATTTTTATTTTTTTTTAAGAGAGAGTGAGAGAGGAGAGAGAGAGAGAGAGAGAGAGAGAGAGAGAGAATTTTATTTATTTTTTAGTTCTTGGCGGACACAACATCTTTGTTGGTATGTGGTGCTGAGGATCGAACCCCGGTTGCACGCATGCCAGGCGAGCGCGCTACCGCTTGAGCCACATCCCCAGCCCTCTCTCACTCTCTTAAAAAAAAAAATATGTCCATTGTCAGTGAAGAAACAGTCTGGGCATCAGTGGCCAGTACAACACACTCAGCTGACTATTTTAACCATTTTGTTTGTCCTATAGGGTTTGGGGTGGTTGCCATTTTATCCTGATAAGCAAAATGGTGGTTACAACCAGGATGGCTATAAGTCATATCAAGATAGATCTCTATATCATCATGCTGGAGAAACTAAACTAGAGAAGAGATTAAGAAGGAGAGAACAGAGCTGGTCTTTGTTATCCAAAATGTAGGAATATTCTTGGTGGAGTACAGTATAGACATTTTCAGTTAGAAATACTTATAATAGCAAAGTGTGATATGGAATGTTTCATTTATAGTAGCCATTGTTTCCCCTTGATATTACTTTGGATAACACCATAAAGTCTATCTCTCCATAAAAATGTAAGTAGATGTGGCTGGAAAGCATAGTTAGGATATATTTGGAGTACATTTGGAACTGACTGTAAGGATTGCTTTGTAGTTTACTTATTACTTACTGTATTAATTTCTTATAACTGCTGTAATCATTACAAGCTTAGTATCTAAAGCAGTAAAAATGTATTATCTTATAGTTACAGAGATCAGAAGTCCATAATGGGCCTCCTTAGGCTAAAATCAATGGTGTGGACAGAGCTCTGGTCATTGTGGATGCTGTAAGGGAAAATCAGTTACTTTACCTTTTCTAGCTTCAAGAAGCTGCCTGCATTCTTAACTTTTTGCTCACTTCCTTCCTTCTTCCAGTATCCTGGGGCCAAGACATTCTCTCACTGTTATCTCTCTGATTCTGTTCACCTCTCTCTTCCCTTTTGTGATTACACTAAACCCACTGGGATAATCCATGATACTCTTCCTATATAGGTCAACTGACTAGCAATCAATTCCATTTGCAACTTCAATCCCTCTTTGCCATGTAACCTAATATATTCACAGCTTCTGGGGATGTATCATCTTTGGCAGAGGGAGAGGGGACGTTCTCTTACCTACCTTATTTAGTATCTGAGTAATCACATGACCTGATAATTGAAATGAAAAAGATGTAGTAGTAGTCACAATGATGGTCTAGACTACATTGTTCTGATTGGGGGTGGGTGGTTGTTACCGAAAATTCCAGCTTTGCTGTATCTCAGGATACTAAAGAAATCCTGTTTTGCACAATAATTAATTTTGAAATGCCCTTTCCTTACAGGTTGTAGTTGCCGCAACTTTTCAGGGTCTTCTGCTTTGCTGGGTAAGTTTAATTTCTTGTGGTCATACTTATATTGCTTCTTAGATTATTTTGTAGTAAACATATTTACTAATAAATTTTCTTGTCTCTTTTAGCTAGAACCCATGTTAACTATGGCGTCAAAGGGAATGTGGCAGTTATTCGACTTAACTCACCCAATTCAAAGGTACCTAATTTAACTTTCTGCAGTTATTTCTACTAACTACATCTACTGATCTAATCCTGAGTGGAAAGGAATCTACCAATCTGGCAATAATCCTATCACATGGATTAATAATGTTGATGGTTAAAGTTTGACAGATTGCCCCATGAAGGTAGTTTTCTAAAGCAGATATTCTCATGTAAGAATTCCTTCTTGTTGACTCTAAGTGTCAGATTGATATTGAGGATTAATGACACTAGCCTTCTGTTTACAGTGTAGAATAAGGATGTGACTTATTAGATCAGAACCAAAGTAAAAGCTTTGTTTATAAGAATTGAAATTCACTGCCCATCTTAAATATGAGTTTATTGGATCCACTTTCTTTATTACCTGTATTGGTCATTATTCATAGTACATTGGCTGGTTAAATGTGGACACTTGGCTGTTAAGCTTCTTGGAATCTGAATGACTCCATGCAACTCAAATATTAGAAATCAAGTTCTTTTCAAAGTGGAACCTCATTTGTGTCTGGCAACTTCAACAAGGCATGCAGTATTACTCCAGTCTTTTGCCAAGAAGAGCTTTAATGCAGGAACCCATGCTTTTCCCCCATCTCAAAATGGTGTAAAGCTTTCATACTTTAAAAATCTTATAACCAGAGGCCTAAATGAAAGCACTTGACACTATCACTAGAGTAAATCTTAGCACCCACTAAACAATGATTCAAGTTTAAGGTATTTTTTCAGAATTTTCTCATTGAATATTTTTCTGAACACAATATATGCGGGTGATAGAAAATTTTAAAACTACAAAAAATTATGAAGAAGAAAATAATAATCATTCATAATCCAAACCCAAAGATAACTACATTTAATCCACTTTTAATAAGTAATATTTATAAAGCTAAGATCACACTGTGTGTCTGATTTTGATTTCCTTTTTTCCTTAATATTATACAGATTTTTCCCTGCCAATAAATGTTTGTAAACTTATTTGTAGCTTACATGTGATTCAAACTCTTAGGAGTATGATTTAAATTTCCCCTCCTGTTTTTAAGGAAGGGGTTCTAGTACTTGGCCAAAGGTGCCTGAATAGAAAACTACTGGGTTTGTTTTCTGCTTCTCCTTCTTCCTTATAACAAAAACGTTTGATGGTAATATTAGACATCTGGTATTTCAAATTTAAACCCTTAGGTTTATTTCCCTTGGCAGGTAAATACACTGAATAAAGAAGTACAAACAGAGTTCATGGAAGTAATGGATGAAATCTGGGCCAGTGATCAAATCAAAAGTGCCGTCCTCATCTCATCAAAGCCAGGCTGCTTTGTTGCAGGTGCTGATATCAAGTAAGTTTTAGGAAACTTTAAGTTGTCTTTTATCTTGAACATTTATTATTAGGCCTAATAATTCTTCCTTTTGAAAGAAGGTAGAAGTAAGTTTTCTGAAAAACTTTTTATGTTATTTTTGTGAGCATAGCAAGACTGACAAAAATCGAAGGGCTTATTGCTAAATCATGTAAAACTAAATGTAGTCTTTTCCTACAACATTATTATTGTAACAGATTTTTTAAAAAATCATTGGGGGAGACCAGGCATGGTAGGGCACCCCTGAAATCCCAGCATCTCCAGAGGCTGAGGCAGGAGGATTGCAAATTCAAAGCCAGCCTCAGTAACTCAGTGAGGCCCTAAGCAACTTAGGAATACTCTATCTCAAAAAATAAAAAAAGTGCTGGGGATGTGACTCATGGTTAAATGCCCCAGGTTCTATCCCTGCTACCAAAAAACATAGGGGGGTCTATTAATAAATAAATTTTAAATGCCTCTAAACAACCTAAGAGCTTTTGTATTTTGTTGTTGTTTTGCTGTTGTTTTGATTGCTGTTTAATTTGATAGTGAAAATATTAACCAAGTGATGTTCTCATACACAAAGCTTTATAATCTGATGATTGGTTATAGAAATGAAAATAAATTGTGTAACGTGTTTTTTTGTTTTGTATTTAAAAACTCATTACTAAATATTGATATATGGTGGGATGGGATAAGTATATAGTAGATGATGTATTTAACAAAGACTGTAGATGTGGTTTCATCATGATTGTTTCCTGTTTACTTTTGTGGCTACTTCAGCATGTTAGCCTCTTGTAAGACCCCTCAAGAAGCAACACAGATATCACAGGAAGGACAGAGAATGTTTGAGAAACTTGAAAGGTCCCCAAAACCTGTCGTGGCTGCCATCAATGGATCCTGTTTGGGAGGAGGACTTGAGGTACAGATGTATTCCAGTTATTGAGACACCCCAGTTCATTGGTGAGAGTCACCAGCTATAAACCTAAGGCTGTTACTTAGCTTGCAAAACATTTTCAGAGGATATTCATCTTTTTTTCCATATTAAACTTCTGAATAGGTTTTAATTCTTAATCTGTGTGACAGAGCAACTGGCATAAAACAAGTAAACGAACTTGTGATATTTTCACATGTAAACATATAAACTGAGATTTGTGTTTTCCAAGGTTCTTTTCATTTCTAAAAAGCAAGTTCAAGATTGCAGAGCAAAGATACAAAAGTGTGATCCACATTCATGTTTTTAAATCTGGTTCAGAAACAAATTTAAGTTTCCTTTGAGTAATAAAGATAGTAAATAATATAAGATTGGAGAGAAGATGCCAGGTGCATTGGCACATGCCTGTAATTCTAGTGGCTGGGGAGGCTATGGCAGGAGGATCACAAGTTCAAAGCCAGCCTCAGCAAAAGCGAGACACTAAGCAACTCATTGAGACCTTGTGTCAAATTAAATACAAAATAGGACTGGGATGTGGCTCAGTGGTCAAGTGCCCTTATTGGAGAGAAGAGATTTGTGTATGTAGAAAGCATGTAAGAAAAGAAAGAAGGGAAAAGAAAATAACATTTATTGTATATATATCATGTGTGAGGCTCTTTGCTGGACATTTTCACATATGTTAATTAAGAAAACTTGGCTCTGGGGCTGGGGATGTGGCTCAAGTGGTAGCGCGCTCGCCTGGCATACGTGAGGCACTGGGTTCGACCCTCAGCACCACATAAAAATAAAATAAAGATATTGTGTCCACCTAAAACTAAAAATTAAATATTAAAAGAAAACTTGGGTCTGGGCTTAAAAGATGGGCTGAATTTGGCTAACCAGAAAATGGTTGAAAATGCATTCCACATATAGTACATAGTAAGCAGCACCTATGAGGAAACTGAGTAGAACTGTTTGATTGGAAGGACAGGTCTCTAAAGTACAGGCCTTCTTAACTTGGGGTCCACATAAAATTATGTGTGTGTTTTTCTATTGCAAGATTCTCTAGCTTTGAGAAGGTTTTTAAGGTAGACCTACAACCCAAAAGGGTTAATAAATTAGGGGGAAAGCATGAAAAAGCTGAAAAGGTAAATTATAGAAAGCATCAGGTACCACCCTAAGGAACTTCGTTTATTCTGTTGGCACCTTCTTGCTTTATAATAATCTTTAGCCCTCAGAGATCCTTAGATGTTATGAAGTTAACATTTTCCAACAGTCTAATTCATTTTTTCATTTGTTTGAAGCTTGCCATTGCATGCCAATACAGAATAGCAACAAAAGATAGAAAAACAGTATTAGGTGTCCCTGAAGTCTTGCTGGGGATTCTACCCGGAGCAGGAGGCACCCAAAGGCTGCCCAAAATGGTGAGTTTAAGACCCCCCCCCCCCCGCCTTCCATCCTGCCCCACTATCATGAACTTAGAATCTGAAAACTTAAGTGTCCCTTTAGATCTATTTCCTTTTGTACAAAACACTATGAATACAGGTATTCATTATAGAATTTAGACCCATATAAGGCTATTTTAGAATCATTGACAGATTTTTATTTTTGATATTTATTTTGTAATTACTTAAAATCAAGGTCCTTTTTTGGTCCCTAAAGAAGTGTAGAAATAAATAAGAGCCTTTAGCATTATATAGCATTATACTTTTCTTCATGGTACTCTCTTATCTTTTCAAAATATAGGTTATGTTTCATAATAAATATGATGCACATGCTAGGCAAGTGCTCCTATCCCCCAACCCTTGAATTCTTAAGGACAAGGGAAAGGAGAATCAAATCTGGAGGCTGCAGAGCAATCTTAATATCAAACTGGAGGGCCTATTGAACTTCATAGCTTTTGACATTGTAGATTCCTCAATGAAAACAAGGCTTTTCAGAAATACTTTTTGCATCCAGGCATTATGGCTCACACCTAAAATCACAGCAACTCTGGAGGCTGAGGCAGGAGAAATACAAATTCAGAGCCAGCCTCAGCAACTTAGCAAGGCCCTAAGCAACTCAGTGAAACACTGTCTCAAAAGAAAAAACAAAAGGGCCGAGAGTGTTGCTCAGTGGTTAAGCACCCCTGGGTTTAATCCCTAGTACAAAAAAAGAAATACTATCAGCAAAGAAGTTGATATGAACTAGGCACCAAAAAAAAAAAAAAATAAAGGAAGATTTATGGTATTAGTTTTCAAATTCCTTTATAGGAATATCAAAAAATTTTAAAACCATGAGTAAACATTTAATTTTTATTGGTATTTGTTGCTAGAAGTCATTTTTCTAGTATTACATAAGAAGCCCTAGCTGGATTACATTTTTGTTAATCCTAAAATTCTTTCTAAAGACTTTGTCACAATTATCAGATTTCTGCATCTCCACTGTAGTTCCATTATAGAAATTTTAAGTATTATATAAATGGTTGAAAAGAAACTTGAAATGACCTAAGGGTATACTTTTAGGAAACATGAAATTAATTCTCCACTTTATCAGTTCCGGAAAACAGAAATTTTACTTATTGAATAAAAGAAGAGGTAGAAATTTGTGCTTCTGTTAGAGGTATCTAATCCCAAACCTAAATGTGTATCAGTGCATAAAATTTAACTTACTGATAAGTACCATAAAAATCTGGCTTGACTTTTTGCATTGAGATATTCGCTCATTTGTCACCTTCATTTTCCTCCATACTCTGATCCTTGTCTGCTTATTAGGTGGGTGTGCCTGCTGCTTTTGACATGATGCTGACTGGTAGAAACATTCGTGCAGACAGAGCAAAGAAAATGGGACTGATTGACCAATTGGTGGAACCCCTGGGTAAGTGTTAGTATGTCTCAAAGTTGGGCCTTATAAAGTAACTTATTTTCTGAGTTAACATCTCCAGTGTCTGTTAGATAACACTCTTAGGAAACGAGTCATGATTTTGAGAAATGCAGTTTTTTTCTAAAATTACTAATACTAAATGATTTTCAACATTACCCTGATTTCTATTTTACTTTATAATTTGGATATCAGGAGTACAAGATTTAAATCAAGTCATTATTTTTTATTCTTAAATTACCTGTATCGCCATTTTTTKTGTGTGTTTGTGAGTGTGTTTTAACAATAAACTTGTATGAAACAACCAACATGAGATTGTTAACAATAATTGTCATCTACTATGTGCTGCTTCCTCCCATACAATTTCTGTTAGAAATAGAAATCAGTAGCCTGGCACAGTGGTCCATGCCTGTAATTTCAGCAACTCAGGAGGGTAAAACAGGAGGAATACAAGTTTAAGGCTACCCTCAGCCAACTTAGCAAGACCCTCAGCAATTTAGTAAGACCCTGCTCAAAGTTTACAAAAAAAAAAAAAAAAAAGATAGGAAAGTAGCTCAGAGGTAGAGTGCTCCTGGGTTTGATCCTCAGTACCACCAAAAAAATAAGAAAGAAAGAGAGAGAGAGAGAGAGAAAGAAAGAAAAACCCAGTGTTCTGAATTATGTATACATCAACCTCATCATCATGTATTTCTTAAATTCAGTATTATGAGATATATTATTTATGTAATAATTTTACCAAATTTTATGTGCAATTTGAGTTTTGATAAATATATGGAGCTATGTAAATACTACAACAAAAAAAATTGGACATTTCTAGTATGCAGCTTTTTTGGGGGGTGGGGGTACCAGGGATTGAACTCAGGGGCACTCAACCACTGAGCCACATCCCAAGCCCTATTTTGTATTTTATTAGAGACAGGGTCTCACTGAGTTGCTTAGGGCCTTGCTAAATTGCTAGGGCTGGCTTTGAACTTGCGATCCTCCTGCCTCTGCCTCCCGAGCCGCTAGGGTTACAGGCATGCACCACCACGCCTGGCTAGAATGCAGCTTTTTGTCTTTCATTTAGAATAATGTTTTTGAAATCTAGCCAGATTTTATATATTAGTAGTTTGTTCCCTTTTTCTTGCTGAGTATTATTCTGTTGTATAAATATGCCATAATTGATTTATCCATTCACTGAATGATGGACATTTAAGTTGTTTTTCAGTTTGGGGTTATTCTGAATAAAGCTGCTATGAACATTGATCCACAAGTCTTTATATTGGATATATTTCATGTTTATAAATACAAAAAAGTAGATTGGCTGGATATGTGTTTGGCTTTTAAGAATCTATCAGARGCTGAGGCTGATCTCAAACTTGCCATCCTCCCAAAATTGGTTATATCAGTTTTCATTCCTACCAACAGTATATAAGAGTTCTAATTTCCAACTACCTTACATAGCTAATCTTTTTAATATTAAACATTCTAATAGAATTGTAGCATTACCTCATTGTAATTTTGTATTTTATAATCACCAAAGATACTAAATATCTTTCATATGTTTATTTGCTTTCTATATATTTTTGGGAAAATATCTGTTCAAATCTGTTGTTCATTTCATTTGATTTAGTTTTTATTAGTGAATTTTCAGAGTTTTTTTTTTATATATCAGAATACAATTCTTTTATCAAATATGTGATTTGTAACTGCTTTCTCCCAGTGTGTGGCTCTTCATTTCATTATCTAAGGACAGAATTTATTTATTTTTTTATTTATTTATTTTTTTTGCATATGAGTATCCAAATGCCCTGGCACCATTTGTTGAGAAGGCCATTTTTTCCCAAGTGAACTACTTTGACATGTGGGTCAAAAATCAGTTGACCCTGTATGTTTGGATCTGTAATCGGATTTCTTGTTTCCACTTATCTGTATGTCTACCAATATCACAATTGTCTTTTTTTTTTTTTTTTTTTTTGTACTAGGGATTGAACCCAGGGGCAGTTAACCACTGAATCAGAGTTCCAGCCCCTTTTGTTTTTTTATTTTGACACAGGAGTCTCAATAGGTTGCTGAAGCTGATCTCAAACTTGCCATCCTCCCAAGTCAGTGGTTTACAGGCATGTGCCACCATGCCCGGCCCAGCTACAGTTTTGATTAGAATTCATTGGTTCAGTATGTCAAATTGGGGAGCATTGATGTCTTTAAAATATTGAGATGTTTTATCAATCATCTTTGCATATTGAAGTCTTTAATTTCTCAGAAGTGTTTTTGTACTTCTCATTGAACTGCACACATTTTGTTAAGTTTGTATGTAGGTATTTCATACTTTCAGGCCACTATACTTTTTATACAGTTTTGTTGCTATTATTGATGCTGGAGATTAAACCCAAGACTTCTCCCATGCAAGCCACATGTTCTACCACTGAGCTACATCCCCAGCCCAAACCTTAACTTTGTTTTTGTTGTTGTTTTGGTGCAGGGGATTGAATGTACTCACTCTAACACTGAGCTACACCTCAAGCCCATTATACTTTATTTTTACTTGAGTTTCTCATTAATTTCTAGTATAAAGAAATGTAGCCAGGTGAGGTGGCATAAACTTACAATCCCAGCCACTCAGGAGGCTGAGACAGGAGGATCAAAAGTTTGAGGCCAGCCTGAGGAATTTAGTAAGACTTTGTCTTAAAATAAAAAATAAAAAGGGCTGGGGATGCAGCTCAGTGATAGAGTATCCCTAGATTCAACCACCAGTACTGGGGGAAAAAAAGAAAAATGCAGTTGAATTTTGGACCTTGTAGCCTGTGATTTTGCTAAACTGTTCTATTCACTTGTTTTGAGGATTCCAAAGAATTTTTCTACAAAGATAATCATCTTGTCTACATGTATTTTGACTTTTTCCTTTCCAATCTACATGCTGGTTATTTCTTTTTCTTGACTTAACTCCAGTGGCAAAGACCTTTGTACAGTATTGGATAGAAATGGTGAAAATAAATACTAACTTGTTCCTGGTCTCAGGGGGAAAGTATTCACAATTAAGTATGTTGTTAGCTATAGGTTTTTCATATATGCCCTTTATCATGTTGAAGAAGTTACCTTTTACTTATAGTTTGTACAAAATGGGTATTGAATTTTGTCCAATGCCTTTTCTGCATCTATTGAGATAATCTATTTTTTAAAATCTGTTGTTAATGTCAGTTACACTGATATTTTACTATTGAACCAGCCTTTTGTTCGTGGAATAAACTCCACTTAAACATGGTACATCATCCTTTTTATAGATTACTGGTTTGATCAGCTTATTTTATGGTTCTGGAAATCAAACCCAGGGCCTTGCTCATGGTAGGGCTATACTAACAAGCAGTACTTCTAGGCCTGATCAGCTAAAGTTTCATAAAGGATTTTTTTTATCTGGTTCTGAGGGACAATGAGTTCAAGGCCAACCTCAGGGATAATTTTATTTTGTGTGATTTTTGTTTGTTTGTTTGTTTGGTGTTGGTATCAGGGTAATCCTGGCATCATATAATGAGTTGGGAAATGTTCCTCTAGTTTTCTACAAGATTTTATGTAGAATTAAAATTATTTCTTTCTTAAATATCTGATAGAATTACCACTAGTTAATCATAAGGACTTGAAGTTTTCTGGGAAAGCTTTTACCTGCAGATTAATTTTTTTTAATGAATAATCAATATAGTCTGGGCATAGTAGCCACACTTAAAATTCCAGCAACTCATGAGGCTGAGGCAGGAGGACCACAAGTTCAAGGCCAACCTCAGCAACTTAGTGAGACCCTGTCTCAAAATAAAAAATTAAAAGGGTTGAGGATGTGGCTCAGTAGTAAAAGCCCTGTGGGTTCAATCCTCAGTTACTACCCCCCGCTCCTCAAAATAAACAACTGTTCATGTTTTTTTTTTTYCCTTTCTTTTCCCCATTACTGAGAGGGTCTCCATTTCTTGAGTGAGCTGTGGTAGATGTCTTTCAAAGAAGTCTATTAACTTACCAAAGTTATTTCAATGAAATTATTCATAATACTTCCGTGCTACTATTAAAAAAAAAATTTTAATGTATTGAATTCAGGTCCTCATGCATGCTAGACAAGTGTTCTACTATTGAGCCTTAACCCTAGCCTTTTTTTTTTTTTTTTTGAGACAGGATCTCTTCTAAGTTGCCCAGGCTGGCCTTGAGCTTGCAATCCTTCTGCCTCAGCTTTGCAAGTAACTGGGATTACTGACATGTGTCACCTCTTCCAACACTAATCTTTGTACTCTGTAAGGTTGCCTCCTCTCTAATTTCTGATATTAATGATTGATCAGCTTGTTATGATCTTTAATGCACAAAATATCTTCATAGTAACACCTAGATTAGCATTTATTAAAGAACTGACAATCATGGTCTAATCAAATTGATATATTGGAAAACTAACATAGTCCACCTCCTATCAATTTGATACAAAGGCATATCTCCTTAACTCATACTTTATCCCCAAATAAAGACAATAATTAAGTCATTCTTCCACCTAACAATGCAACTAGCCTGTGTATGATACATTTCTATCTAGAGCTCAGCTCAGGTAGAAAGAAGACTGAGCTATCAAGTACCGGAGCAGCAAATTAAAGTAATAAGCTAAAATGAAAGTAACTGAAGCCTTTAATCACTATTTCCATATTTTATGCAGAAGGTTAGAACTGGAGAAAGCACCAGCCTCCTCTCTGTTCCATTCACTTTTTGGAAGGAGGGTCAGATGGATTCACACATAAAGGCCATCTCACTATTAAGGAAGCCCTAAAAAAAAGTCTCCTGCAGCTTTATGGACCCTGGGGAAAGGGGATGACCTGGGTATGGAAGTAAAGTGTCTTAAGATTCTCCCTTCTTTCCTCAATAAGGAAGCCTCATATAAAGAGATGTAGGAGTAGAGGTTTCTGGGCCAGTAATGGAAATATATATGAGCCTAGGAGCCCTGAGTCCCTGACTGCACCTCCCTTAGGGACTGCGATATGCTGGCTGCACACCATGTGGGT